TAGGGTCAAAAATTTTCGGGAAAGTTTTCTTGTATATATTCTTTTAGATATCAGCTTTTATATATTTTAAGTTTTCAATGTATTGTGGAAGTGTACAACTCCAAAACATGCCTCGAAGAAACACCATTCAATATGGTAGTATCATTATTTTTATGCACCAATGACCTCCAGGCTGCATGCCACTATATAATTATGGTCTAACTCAAAAATATCGATACCTATTTAAATATTGATTACTATGATTAAAATAAACCTAAAATTTTGGACTTACAGTGTTATTGTAATGGGCAACATAAGCGTGAAAGTTACGAATAGTAAAAACTGAAATCTACTGTATAGGATGACGTTTTGTAAAGGCATGTTTTGGAATTGTATACCGATATAATGTATTGAAAATTTTAAATATATTAGTGCTAATATGTACATGAATGTATACTAGCCAACTTTGTCGGAAAATATCGACCCTAGGGGTACGAAAAGGGACTTAAGATCCATACAATTCAATTAGAAACAGAAGAACGATACCAAAAATACATCTTGGAACTTTTAAGTACAGATCCTTATAACAAAAATTATTATTTTTAGATACCTCAAGGGGTCTATTAAATTCCAATATTAAAGTTTGGTTTTATTTCTGCAAAAAAAGGAAAAAAATGCAAATATGGTCAAAAATCGCCATTTTAATGATATTACATGAAAAGATGGTACAAATGCTCCAAAATTGTGGAACAAATGGACCCAAAATATATAATTTCGGTTGATAGTAACCCCTTAATACAATTTTAAGCAAGAAACCACTCGATTATAATTTTTGTGTTTCGTATATGGTCATATATGAAATACAGGAAAAATTCGAATACTTTTGTGAGGCAATTTTATGGACTTTTTTTAAAAAAAGTTAAATCAATTGAGGTAAATGTTATTTTTCCAAATTTTAAAGAGTGTGATATTATACCTTAGGACTCTCTAGACAATATAACAAATTTAATTATTCATTTCACACACAAAAAATATTATTAAATTATGTTTCTTTTCAAAGTACAACCAAATTCGAATACTTATGTGAGACACTGTATATGTATGTATGACTTTTATTTTCGGCGTGATATCGATTTTTTGTTTTAAACGTAAAAAATAAAACTCATGTTTTTACGAATATAAGATAAATAAAATTTAAACTTGGATGGACATACATATTAACCTCTATTATCTGAATATTTTTTTAATTTTTTCAAATCTAATGATTTGTTTAATGTCATTAAACATTCAAAGCCAATTTTCGCGAAACGACTATTTTGGATTATGCTAGTCTTGTAGTAAGTGAGCGATATGATAATGCAGTTAGGTGGTTAATGGAATTTGCATTAAATACACTTAATTGTTCCTTTTAAAAAATATGTACATATATTTTTCTTAAATAACCCGACTGTCTATTGTTAGAAACATTTTCAATATTTAAAAAAGTTCTATATTTTCTGCAAAAGAATTTGACAGTTTAAAATATTCTGAATCATTGCTTGTGGGGACAGCGAATAATATTCATCAAGCTGGCAACACGTTTGTTACAAAATTGGCGCAAATATTTTGACAGCAAACTTTAATTTTGTTTACATTTTTGTTTGTTGTTTTTTGCAAAAACTTTTTATCACAAATTAAACAAATTCCAAACAAACAATGGACGACTTGGCGAAATTAAAAAAGAAAATAACAAATTCATTTAAAATAAGTGGTTTTCTAATTAGATCCGAGAATAGTGTTTTCCTGGCGGAACAATTGCTACCATTCGAAGAGGATGAACGTGACAAATGGTTGACTATAATCACTGAAAACCTACAAAGTCAACGTTTAAAATCTGCTCATGTAGAGAGAGCAGCTTTGGAAAAAGCCATCAATGAAATAAATCGTGTAGGTCTGGACGAAGGTGAAGCGGTATTTTCAGTGATAAATGCCTTTGATGTTCCCAGATATGTTTACAATAAAATGAACAAAAAATTTGAACTGGATCAGGGACAAAGAGGTATTTTGGCAAAGCCTTCTTTAAAGTCGGGACAACTGAGACAGCGCTATGAAATGTTATTGCAAAAAACTCTGCGGCATGAGTTGTTTGCACCGGCAGTTATTGAGAATGGTGTGACCTCGGAATCGAGAGCAAAGAAGTTTAAGCTGTTGTATTGTGAAAACCTATTGGCCAACTCTTCGGTAGAAGAGGCGGTAGTTTTAGGTTTGTTAACCCAATTGAAGGAGGGAAAATTCTATATAGAAGATCCTACGGGTTGCGTCGAATTGGATTTAAGTGCGGCTAGATTTCATGCCGGCTTTTTCTGTGAAGGATGCTTTGTTTTAGCTGAAGGTTGCTATAATGGAGGAGTTTTAAAAGGTGGGTATTTAATTAATAAAGTTCAATATTTTATATTAATAACTATAAATTGTTATTAGTTGATGGTTTGGGATTTCCTCCCGCTGAACCGGCAGCCAGTAGTCGAGCTTTCTTTGGTACTCAAAATAGCTGGGGAGGAGAATCTACAAAATTACTGAAATACTCTACCCGTTTACAGGAATTGGAGAGAACCAATACAGAAGCCACTATAGTTTTTCTCTCAGATGTCAGATTGGATGTACCGGTGGTTATGGAAAAACTACGTATGTTATTTGTTGGTTATGACTCCTGCCCCCCAGTAGCTATAGTGCTTATGGGTCCTTTTGCGGCCAGCGAAAGGCAACATCATGCCTTAAAGCAACATCTCAATGCCTTGGGTGCCCTGGCAAATGGTTGTGAACAGCTTAAAAAACAAACCGAACTTATACTTATACCTTCCTGTGAGGATCCTGCTGCGCCCAATATATTTCCGCGTTCACCTATACCGAATACCTTAGCAGCCGGTTTGCTTAAGGTTTGGCCTCGCACACGTTTGGCGACCAATCCCTGTCGTCTGCAATATTGCACTCAACAAATTGTCGTTTGTCGTCTTGATTTGATGGCGAAATTTTGCCGCAATACTTTACATTTCCCCCCAGATACCTCTAAGATTGAGCAACATTTTGCTCGTACCCTTATATGTCAGGGTCATTTAACACCGATTCACCCTATAGCCATGCCAGTGCATTGGGATTATGATGCCGCGTTGTGGCTATATCCATTGCCCGATTTAATAGTTATTGGTGACTCGTGTCAAAGTTTTTCGACGTCACAACACGGTTGTACGGTATTGAATACCGGTTCATTTGTCAAATCGAAATTTGCCTTTAAAGTTTATATACCATCGACAAAGACCATTGAAGATTCAGAGATACCTGATGAAATGGAGGAATAATGTTTTAAGTTATTGTTTGTTTATTTTTAATATACATAATAAGGGTTTTAAAGTTGCAAATAAAAACAGTTTTAAATATATCAGTTCCATTTTTTGTTTTTGTGATTATTTTTAATGATTTCAGCACAATTTTGCCAAAAAATTAGTTGATAAAGACAACTGAAATTTGCACCCTATATTGCAATATAAATAATATATCCCATACTTGGACTTATCTCTCATAATAATTTTACCCGCGTAAATATCCAGAATATATTTTAATAATTATCTTACATATTTGAATTTTTAGTGAAATTTTAAATAAAAATTTTATTTTTTGATAAAAATTTCTATAAAAATCAATTAATTTTTTAACAATTTTAAATTTTAGTAAAAATTATGACCAAATTTTAATTTTTTGTAAAAATTTATTTAATGAAATTTTTGTTTAAATGTTAAAAATTAACAAAATAATAAAAGAATAAGAACAAAATAGTAAAAGACAAATTTAAAATTTTGTTTTCAAAAATTAAAAAAGAGCCGGCTAATAAACAATATAATCCGCCTTTACTATCTAACAGTCTGACGCCGTCACTTTCAAATTTGCCAACATAGATGTCTACACTTTTGCTATAAAATTTATAAGAGGTTAATATTTTAGGAATTTTGTAAAACAATACTTTTTTGTAAATAAAGATAATTTAAACGAGTTTTAAATTAAAAAATACTTGGAAAATGTTAAAAATTACTAAAACCTCTACACAATTAATTAAAAGCACGATGGGTAAGTGGAAAACTATTAAAAATTAACGTCAAAATAAGAAATTGTTAATATTTTCAAAAAAAATTTTGCAGCTAGAAATATCTCGTGCACGGGTAGACTAGCACTGGATCAAAAGTGGCGGGAGGAACAGGGCTTGCCCGAAAATCCCAATGAGTTTGGACCTTTAACCAATTTACCCGATTATACTTTCTTGGATGGTCGTCCCACACCCTTAGGAGTAAGTATTTACCATAACAATTTACTTTAAATTTTTAAATATTGAAACAAAAACATATTTTTATCTGCTTATAGTCAAATCAAAGGAAACGTTTAATCAAACAGCAGGAAATCGCTGCTAAAATTGTCACCATGAGCAAGGAATTAGATATGGCCAAACAGCGTTATAAACAATTGCAGGAACAGCAAGCTGCCGAAAGACAAAAGGTTATGCAAGCAAAATTAAAACCCAAAGGCAAATATTTATTGGAACAGAAAAAGTAAAGTCACTAATCTCTGTGAGATATTGTAAAAATTGTGTTAGATCATTAAATGTTACAAAATATGTTAAATAAATTGATATATAAAGAGTAATTTTGATTTTAATTTTACAAAGTAGTATAAAAAAAACATTTGTTTACATTTTGCTGCATTCACTGGAAATTATTAACGCAAATTATAACATCAGACAGCTGCCGGTTGGTGGAAAGTGATGCCTACTTGTCACAAATATGTATATTAAAAATAAATAAAACCATAATACAACCAGTAATTGTTATATTATGAATAAAACCTAGTATTGACACAAAATTTAAACTATTACAGGAATTTAATAAAATAAAAAAGTATTTTTTATAAAAACATTAAGCCATTTTTTAGTACTTTACTATTTACTAAAGTCATTTGTTTACTTTTTTCGTTTATATTTTATTTACACTTGACATCACTCTTTTTTATAGCACCACCAACAGCTGTTTGTGACATAACCTCTTTTTGTACATAATTGTGTTATTTTTCATTTCTCCTGTGCAAAGCAGCGTAATAATTTCATTTAATTTTAAATAAATATTTGAATAAAATGAATATAACACCTTTATTACGTACCGGCACATTGATTGCGAATCGGCAATTGGTGCGTCAGTATGCTTTTAAGTCAGATTTAAAAATAAAATGGGTAAGACCCGAAAAGATACAATCTATTGATCCAGCCAAAAGTGGTGATTGCAGCAAACTGCCAGCAGTAAATGGTCAGACACTAATGAAAGGTTTTGACAAATCAAAGGAACTGGAAACGTAAGTTGGTGTTAAGAGTATGTATTTCAGATAAGATTACAATTTTTACATATTTTAGAGCCGATGCCACGGTACGTTCCTTATTTGAATTGGGTAATAATCCTAATTATCTTACCACTGACTACTGTCGTGAGCAAATGATTAAGGAAGTACAAAGACATCCTTTAGATTTTGGCTCCATGGAAGCGAGATGTAAGTTCTTTTACTTTCAAACGTAAAGTTTGTATTAATAAATTACTTTTAGTGGCCCGTATGACTGCTACCATCAGACGTTACCAAGAGTATATGCTGGAACATCCCCGCGACAAAAAACGCAAAGTACAACTCAAGGAATTAATCGAAAAACGCAAGAAATTCCTTAAGTATCTAAGACGTTGGGATTACAGACGTTTCGAGTGGATTTTGGAAAAATTGGACTTAGTCTACAAACCACCACCAGTCGAATTCCACTGGATTACCCGTAAAGAATCCTTACAAAAACTTACCGACATACATTGCGAACAATTGAAACAAGAAAGATTGAATGAGTATCGCAAAACATTGGAGGAACAACAGATACCCTTTTTAGAGGATGCCATTAGAAAAATGGAATTTATACGTCAAGAACAAATTGATTTGGATATACCAGTGACTGTAACCAAGGAGGAGATAGATGAGCACAAAAAACAATTGGAAGAATTGAAGCTCTTTAGGGAGGAAACGAAAGCAGCAGCGAAGAAGGATGAATTAATAAAATATTAATCAATTGTTACTGTTAATAGTAAATGTTATATAGAAATTAAAACAAAATATCGGAATTTGAAATTTTACCGTTTTCAATGTTTCGACCCAATTCAGAAAATGAGTTTAAAAATTTATACGGTTAGGTCTACAATTGGAAATATGTAACTTTCTTGTAAAGCCATCAAGAAATGTAAAATTAGAAACTCCATTCAACATTTCCATTAGAATCGAAATTTTCTCCATTTCGCAGGTAGTAACGTACAAAAATAAGTAACACCAATCGTAATGCAGAAATGAATTGCAATTGCTTAATTTTTTCATACGATTTCTTTTTTGTTAGAATATATTTTATCGCTAAGGGAGCAATTGAATGCGAAAACGTAATCGAGAATAGGGAAAACATAAGATTTTGACAACCTTAGATATTAATTTATGATCACCTAACAAACCATTAAATAAAACAATTTTGAAAATTCCTTACAAAGCTTTAATAAAAGCTCATTTCTTTGTCTTTGCTTGCTTTCAAATAGTTTTCTTGTTTTTTTGGAATAGTGTGTGGACATCATTATCATCATCATATTACTAATTATATAAACAAGTGCATTATTGTTTAAAAAATAAATTTCATAATTTTCTACTTTTCAACATCACTGGTTAGTTAGCATCATCACTACGATCAACGTCTACGTTTGGGTGTCACCGAGCGGGAGCGTGTTGTTCTCTTGCGGTGCGATGAACGCGGTGAACGTGAGCGTTTTCGCAAAGAGCTGGAATTACGATTGCGCTTAGTGGAGGAGGGCGATAGAGAACTGTGATGGGAACTGCGCGATTTGGAGCGAGATTTTGAAGAATAGCCACGATGACGTTCAGTTGTGGGCAACTTTGATTTATCATGAGATCGTTTTTTTGTATTACCATCACGAGAGGAGGATCTTTGACGTTTTGATGCTGACCTTGTGCGACTGCGACTGCGAGAACGTGAATACGAACGTTTTTTAGAACGAATCTGTTCACGTGATTTCGAGTGCTGTGAAGATGATGATGTGGAGGAAGTGGAAGACGACGAAGATGATGATGATGAAGAGGATGTCGTTGATGAGGTAGATCTAGAAGAGGATGAGCCCCGGGAGGATGAATATGATTGACGCCGTCTAACATCTGAACGAGTTTTTGATCTTGAACGTCTATTATTGGATTTATCTTTTTCATTTGACGATTTGTTTAAAGTTTCCTTTAAATTGTTTTCCCCTACTTTGGAATTTTCTGATTTAACAGCTGGCAAAACCACCTCCTCATCATCACTAAATAGATTGTATTTAGCCAAATTATCATCATCACCATCTTCTTCCTCTTCTTCATCATCTTCGTCCGCCTCTTCGACAGTGGACTTTTCTCTGTTTGCATTATTTTTAATTCGTATTCCTTCATTATTATAAGAACTCTTTCTACGCTTCTTTAAGCGACCAAACTCATCATATTCACTGTCAGATTCTTCCCTTTCTTTATATTCTACAACACCGCGATCGTTGTAACCACCACCAAAACCTTCAAAATAATTAGGAGTAGATATCACAAGTTCCAATAACAACCCTTCTACAACTACTCACCTGTTCTCTCCTCAACATCACAAAACTTTGGAGCATTACACATATTACAGGTAGAACGACGGGCCCAATTAACATTGGCACATTTGTTGCATTGCCAATCTTCGGCACTAAAGAGACCGCGTGATTTCTCCGCTGCAGCTTTGCCGATTTCCGTGCCCAATTTCTTTTTATTCGAACCACTACTACCCACACTACTACTGCGTTCCAAGCTGCGATCACGTTGGCATTTGTTACACTGCTGACGGCGAGCGAAATTCGAATGACGACAGCTAGATATGTAAAAAGATTATACACAAAAATACACATTGGCCGGTCATGCCCGACAACGACCCCACAATTACGTTTAGGGGTTAATAGTGTAAGCGCAAGGCATTCACCAAAAAGAAACGGGATTAAGTAAAAAAATACATATTAGTGATTTTTCTTCATGTTTAGATTTTATAAATAAATTGATATGTATATTTATTATTGGTTGTGGATTGATAAGCGTCCAAAGCACACGATGCTTTACACTCACGTTACATCGCTACAAATCCAATCACCACTATTAACTCCACCGGTACCAACGCCATCACGACTGCTACCACCGCACACATCCGATAAGCTGGAAGACATATTCTTCTTTGTTTCCACACGAAAAATGTCCTATTTTCTCTGAATTTTCTTCAAATAACTTTGTTTTTATTTAGATTATGTCCTTTTTGGATTTTTATTATTACTGCTGCAAAAAAATTATTGAATTTTTTTTTCGCAGCATTTTTGCGTCAAGTAGTTAAAGACCTGCGTCGACAAACATTAACGTCGCCGGCGGCTGATACTAAAACCTTCGACGGTAACTTGAATCGGCTGTAAGCCGGATAAGTTTCAAAAATAATTTTTAAAATATAAAAAATATGTTAAAATGCTAATGAAGAAGTAGTGAAAAGCATATTTTTAACTCATTACTTTTCAATGTACGTTTTTGCTGGTATACTGTTTACCGTTTTCTAACGTTAACTAACGGTACCGCAATTTCACAGTTAGCCCTGATCTAGATTCATCGATTTTTTAGAAAAGTTTATATAGATTTCAGTATAAATTTAAAATGATTTAAATTTTTGTTCATGAAAAAAATCCAAAAAACATTTGGATACGTACCATAATGTCATTGAGCTTAAATATATTTTGATTGACATCGAATACTTCAATTTTAAAGGCCCGGAGGGAAATTACGATATTCTAAAAATATCTCAAATCGAGATTTCGTTAGGTCAAACAATTTAAAACAATCATAAATTTCCATTGTAGAAGAAATATTTCGAAAAAATTGAATTTGTGTTTTTTATCTCTTTAATAAATTTGTTAACAGATTTTATATAAAATATCTGATTTTTAATGACTTCATGTGACTTGTCTATAAATGTATTGGCAACCATATACCCAGTGTTGCTCCGATTAGTATCTGCTTTAGCATTGACACGCAGTTATCGATTTTTTATACGAACAAATTGTTATCGCCGCCTGTTTTTGTCTCTTTTGATTTCTTCTTTCTTGTTTTTTCTTCTTTATGATTTTGCATTCTTCTAACGTTTTTCGGGCAAAATATATTTTTTCCACGAAAAAAAAGATTTTTCTTTGCAAAATTGTAACATTTCTTTTTCAAATTTAAAGTAAAGAACGTAAATAGTTATTAAATGTCTAGTGTTTATTAAGTTTTAAATTGTAATTATAAGTAATTTATAAAAAAGCAAACAACTTTACAAATATCAGGTGCTTAAAAAAGTCATAAATTTAACAAAAAAAAATTTCACCATCATAAAACAAAAAAAATCGTGTTTAAGACGCATTTCTGTTGTCTCCCTATATACAATTTGTTCGATTTATGTATATTGGACGCACACACATTTCTTTTTGTTATAATTTTTTTATTAACAAAACGTTTAACTAAAAAGGGAGAAAATAAATAAATTACCACCGAAAAATTAAGCAGACTACAAAAACAAATTCAACAGAAGCAGAAAAAGCAGCAATAAGAAATTTTTTAAGCCAACCAAATACACAAGGGAAAGGCGCAATTAGCGAACTGAGCAACAGCCATTGACACGGACAGAAAGACAGACACAAAGGCATAGAGACAACAGACATTGTATCGTCGTCACTTTTTGGCTATATGGCTGCTAATATGATTAGTAACAATAATAATACAAAATCAAAAAATGGTGGTATGGCCAGAGGAGGTCTAATGTCTAACTCTTCCTCTGCTTCAAACATTTCTACTGCCACAGCAGCCAGCTCGGTTAACCTAGTAAATACAACAACAGGTCGTAATGTTGTTGTATGTGGCAGCAGCGGTGGTGGTGGTGGTGGCATTCCCGTGCACCCTGTCAACGACGGTGTTACTAGTCTTAGTGATTTGCGTAGCTATTTGCAACCCATCAATAGTACAATGTCCCTGCCGCCTGGTGTTTGTCCCTACGATCACATAATCGAAATGATACGTGGTCTGGATTTACAAGATGATGGCATAACCATGAATCACAAGATCAAATCAATCGAAACAGATTTCTGTAATATTGTACGTGATGAAAATATGTTGTGGTAAGTAGTATCAGCCAACCATCATCTATCTATCTTTATACATACATGTATTCTTATCAATCATAACTCATTTCCATTCTACAATAGCAACACTGTCTTGTTTGTATTTGTTTGCATGAAAATCAACTTTATTAGTTAGATTAATGTGAAAGAAAGCATCAATTGAGGTTATAATTTTGTACAAAACGAATGTGTTTTTATTTTTTTCTTACTACTGCTACTACTCGAATTCATCACTACTTCAAGATACCTAGTGGTAGTATTTGTATGTAGTTAGTACATTGGTACCTTATGTATATTTATAATGATATGGATGAAGGGTAGTAGCATTGTTTTTTTTATAAAGCGAAAATCAGTCTATATTTACCCAGCAAAAAGTTACATGACAAAGATGTTGTTTAATCAGAGGTGCAAGTGATGACGAATTGGTTCGATTTAGGTGAAACATGGATGATTTTAACATTAGCGTGTCATTGGAGATCATGTGTTTATGCGAGAATTTCGAATAATCGAACCAATGCAATTTCAATGATTCGAAAGCTATTTGTTTTGTATGTATTTTTGGAAGATATTTTACATAGTTATAAGGAAAATATTATAATAAATATGGGAGGATACATAAAATAATATTATTAATAAAAATTATTTCTAAAAACGCATAAATCTCATTTGATTAAATTAACCATCTGAATTAATTTTTTAAGTTTTAAAGAAATTTTTTAACTGCGGAATAGGTTGAATTTAGGAAGTCATTTAGAATGAGTTGTATTAGCACTGTTATTAAAGAAGTCATGAAACTTACATTTCCTTCGCACTACTGCAAATTTTTTTTGCTGGGTATAGATAAACATTAGGTTGGCGTAGTGAATTATATGAGCACACATTTTTGTTTTAACTGTGCTATATCCGGAAGTATTGTAATACTTTCACAAAAACTTACAAAGTGAAAAAGTGATGCAATAGGCAGCCTTCAAAAGGGTTAATTTCGAATTTATAATAGACCAGCATCGCTGCGCTGGAATTATGGCATTTGATATGATGCTAATAAATTGCATCACGAACTCCACTCTCCCTAAAGAATTCAAATTTGAATTTGCTAAATTCAGACGTCAAATTTCCAAATAGCGCATGACTCATCTTTATTTTCCCAATCTTCTAGAACCTCAAAAATGTCTCCATGTTGTCCTATCATGTACCATAAATGCTAAAATCACTCAATATGAGACATTCCATGGACGTAAGTTATCTGCTTCGAAATCATCGGCGTCTCTTTTCTACTCTTAAACCAAACACTACAGTCGAAGGTCTTATAATCCTGAAGGTTTTGAAGATTTTACTGGTACTCTTTGAAAGCCTTTATAATTCTTAGAGCACACAAACTCCATTATTACATAGGTTAGAAATTGAAACAGGGTCCTTAAAGCGCTAGCTTTAAGATGTACAAGATATGATTGTAGCGGCGTACAAGGTAATTGGTTGATCCCTTCTCAACTAGACATTCCTAGAATGGATCTCTTTCCTCAGCGACACCCAATGGCAAGGTTTATAATTTACCCAAAAATGTATTCCGAATCGCAACCGGATATGTCAATGTGGATTATCTACTGATGGTCAGACAACACAATGTGTTGTTGAGTAGACAATTCCTGTTGCCATGCCTTTCCTTGTCTGTTGAAAGAAATTCAAATTTTCATTAACACCCTAATGTACATGGCACATATGCAACAACGATTGTATGTTTGTGTAGATTATAGCAAATAATTATTGTTATTTTACAGCATATTTAAACAATCGCAGATATAGCACCACTAACAGCAACAGCCTTAAGTACTTGTACTGTTTAAGTTAGTTGGTGGTTAGTAGTAGATGGTTTATTTGTTGCTTTGAAGTGTACTGTAGTTGTTGTTTTGTTTTTAATACCTTTAGACGTAGCAGCAAATTGATTTACTTCATTGTATGTATCTCTTTATTACGTTATTTGCTAATTTATGTTGTTCATGTTGTCCGTTGTGTATCTATGTTGTTGTTGTTTTTCTTGTCAATGTTTTTATTACAATTTAAAATTCAACTATTGTGTGGTCAGCGTTTGGTTTGTCATTAATTTTTTTATATACTATTTTCTATCTTACGTTGTTATTTTTTTCCATTGTTGTCATTTACTTTTATTATTTTATTTTTTTTTTGCAAATTTATTATGTTGTTGTTTAGTTCTTTATATACTTATTGTATTGTATTTATTTACTTACGTATGTATTTGTTTATAATCTGTTTTAGTTGTCTTAGGTTTTCCATTTTTATACATAGAAGATATTTTGAATTAAATGATTCACTGTTGCGGCTTTTGTATCTTAAATTAATAGTAAAAATATATGTCACCTTTTTAAATTCGTTGTGAAACATCAATATTTGTTATGTTTAGAAAATTTTACTTGAGTTTGGACTAGTCTATGGAATTTTCTATAGACTAGAAAAGTTGATAGGCTAGTTCATAGGTGAAATCATAGACTAGTCAATAAAATAGTCAATAGACAAATCTATGGACTATTTGATAGACAGTCCATAGACCATAGATTAGTTAGTAGTCTAGTCAATAGCCATATCTATAGAAAAATAGACAAGTTCATAGTCTAGTCAATAGAGTCCATAGACAAGACAAACGATTAGTCGATAGAAAAGTCTACGGACTAATTCATAGACTAGTACATAGACCATATTCTAGTCAATAGACAAGTACGTAGACTGGACAATATATTAGTCTGGTTAATTAACTGGTATTTAGTCTAGTCAATAACCAAGTCTATGAACTATTCGATAGACTAGTCTACGGACACTAGTCAATAGACTAGTCTACGGACACTAGTCAATAGACGTGTCCGTAGAGAAGTCAGTTGGGAAGTCAATAGCTCTCTTGAGCCTCTTGAAATCTTTCCTGTTTCCCAACCATAAACAATCAAAAGCCTATGGGTAGTCTTGTTAATGGAGTAGTTAATAGACTAGCTAATAGAAAAGACAATGGACAAGTTTACGAACTATTTCATAGACTAATCCATAGAACACTAGTCAATAGAAAAGTTCGTAGACTAGACAATATAGTAGTAGGAAGTCTAGTTAATAGCCATGTCTATAGTCCAGTCAATATGCTGTCCAATAGACAAGTCAATAGACTAGTCCGTACAGAATACAGTTAGCAAGTTAATAGCTGCCGAATCTGTTTCCCAACCATAAACAATCAAAAGTCTATGGTTAGATTAGATAGATATTAGACTAGTCAATAGACAATTCCTTAGAGTTATCAATAGTCAAGTCCATAGACTAGTCAATATATCAGTTTTTACACTAAAGAATATAGTCAAGTCCATAGACTGGTCGATAGAGATCTATTACATTAATTTTCCATGTTGTTTTGCTGGAAAAAGTTTTTATTCCAAACTCAGTGTTTTTAGTTTTTATTTATTTTATACAGCTTTTTAATTAAGACTTATTAATTCTATTAAATTCAATTATGACCTTTTGTATCTACAAACATACATATATTTCATTTCAAACGAATGAATATATGTGTATATCTAACCCAACTCCCACACTAACAATAACACAAATTTAATAAAAGAAAGTCATCAAAACATTCATACACAAAATAATATTAAAAAAAAAATCTTAATTAATTTTGTACCAAAACAATAAATTATCATCAATTATATTTTTATAACGTTTTAAATTAATGTTTTATTTTACATTTTTTCCTCTTCTCTTTTAGTGAATCAATGGAATATCTAAATGACAAAGCATTGGAAGATGGTGAAACAGCTTTAAAATTTGCTTTACTCTTTGCATCACATAATTTTGATGTTCTCGCCATGAAGGAGACAAAAGTGCGAACAGCCATGTTAACACTGTTGCAAAAGAATTTCGTTAATGCTGAAAACTATAGATTGCATGATCGTGAACGTCTTTATAATTCTATAACACTTTTGGGAGAATATTATCATCGTGTACGTTTGGCAGATAATTCGCCCATCAACATATTGGGTGAGTCGTTATTGGGTCTACTCATACGTGAAATTAAGGAGGAGAAGAATGTGAACGATGTGAAATTGGCGAAATTAATATTGTCACAAATAACACTTAATGGTGATTTGATGCGCAATCTGCATAAAACGGAAATATCACAATTACTATATCACATACGAAAGAATCTAATAGAGCAGCCAAATTTGAAGCCAACCGTTAAAGCCATTATGTTAATGACTTTAGATTTATTTTATAGCAATTTTGCAAGTTTAGGGTCACAATTAGAAGTAATGTATACAAAATATTTCATTATGGAGGACGATGACGAGGGCAACAATAATCAAAATTCTAATCAACAAACACCTTCGTCGCAAGCTAATTCTCATCAGCAACAAAATCAAACCAACAATAGTCCCCAGCATCAACAACAACAACAACAAAATTTCACCTGCCCTTCAACTCAACTACAGCAGCAGCAGAATAGTTACGATGAAGTTCCCCTGCCTTCGTCGTCAAATAATACCAGCTATGAAAATGGAGATTCTGGTAATGTTAACGACAACACCGAAGATGATCCCGACAGCTACAAGAAGTGGAGCGAACAAGTTTGTGAGGATTCTTTTGAGGAGTACAACGGTGTCGAAAGTGAATTAAATTTGAGCAGCAGTGGTGGTAATCAGGATCAATTGAACAGAAGCTTTGGTGATGAACGTGATCGTCAGCATTCTTCTAATAGGAGTTATGATAATGACAGCGATAGACAGAGTCGCAACTCAAGACGCTCATTTCAACCCAGACAATCACCAAGACCACTTAAACAAAATTTCAATAGGTAAGTTATTTTTTAGTTCATTCGTAATGTAAGAAAAGTATAAAGTCATATTTATTTATCTATCACAAATGCAATTGTAAATTGTACGAAAGAAATATATGTCATGTTTATGTTTAAAACTAATTTGGTATATTTTTTAATTTTTGTTTTTGGGATAAATATTTCTGGTGATAGGGGCTTTAGTTAGTAAATTATTTATAACGCTTTTTACATACTATTTTTATATTGATTAGTTAAATTTTATTATTAGAAATTTATTGATTTTTGTTTTTAGTTTTAAATGGTATTATTATGCATATTTCATCTTTTTTTGTCTGCAATAGAAATAAATGGGATCATATTGTTTTTTACATCATATATTCAAGAGTCTCTATCTTAAACAAGAAAAGTTTTTAGAAGAACAAAAACTTTTTATTTCGCTAGTTCGTGAAGATTCTTTAATATGATCTTTTTAAATATTTTTATATCTTAAAACCTCATATAATTTAAAATTTTGCGTTATTTGCAAATTTATAACATGTCATGAAAAATTCAGTACTTTAGTACTTTTTGATATGGAAAAATACCGCGGAACCCCATGATACTTTCGGTACTTTTTCTAACTTATAAACTTTTGATAAGTAGTCAATAGTCTGTTGCCTAGTCTATAATATAGTCTAGTATATAGTCTAGTCTATAGTCTAGTTTAATCTAGTCTAGTCTAGTCTATAGTCTATAGTCTAGTCTATAGTCAATAGTATATAGTCTAGTCTACTCTAGTCTAGTTTAGTCTATTCTAGTCTAGTCTATAGTCTAGTCTAGTTTATAGTCTATAGTATATAGTCTAGTCTACTCTAGTTTAGTCTAGTCTATAGTCTATATTCTATAGTCTATAGTCTAGTCTATAGTCTAGTCTATAGTCTAGTCTATAGTCTAGTCTATAGTCTAGTCTATAGTCTAGTCTATAGTCTAGTCTATAGTCTAGTCTATAGTCTAGTCTATAGTCTAGTCTATAGTCTAGTCTAGTCTATAGTCTAGTCTAGTCTATAGTCTATAGTCTAGTCTATAGTCTAGTCTAGTCTAGTCTATAGTCTAGTCTATAGTCTAGTCTATAGTCTAGTCTATAGTCTAGTCTATAGTCTAGTCTATAGTCTAGTCTATAGTCTAGTCTATAGTCTAGTCTATAGTCTAGTCTATAGTCTAGTCTATAGTCTAGTCTAGTCTAGTCTATAGTCTAGTCTATAGTCTAGTCTATAGTCTAGTCTATAGTCTAGTCTATAGTCTAGTCTATAGTCTAGTCTATAGTCTAGTCTATAGTCTAGTCTATAGTCTAGTCTATAGTCTAGTCTATAGTCTAGTCTATAGTCTAGTCTATAGTCTAGTCTATAGTCTAGTCTAGTCTATAGTCTAGTCTATAGTCTAGTCTAGTCTATAGTCTAGTCTATAGTCTAGTCTATAGTCTAGTCTATAGTCTAGTCTATAGTCTAGTCTATAGTCTAGTCTATAGTCTAGTCTATAGTCTAGTCTATAGTCTAGTCTATAGTCTAGTCTATAGTCTAGTCTATAGTCTAGTCTATAGTCTAGTCTATAGTCTAGTCTATAGTCTAGTCTATAGTCTAGTCTATAGCCTAGTCTATAGTCTAGTCTATAGTCTAGTCTATAGCCTAGTCTATAGTCTAGTCTATAGTCTAGTCTATAGTCTAGTCTATAGTCTAGTCTATAGTCTAGTCTATAGTCTAGTCTATAGTCTAGTCTATAGTCTAGTCTATAGTCTAGTCTATAGTCTAGTCTATAGTCTAGTCTATAGTCTAGTCTATAGTCTAGTCTATAGTCTAGTCTATAGTCTAGTCTATAGTCTAGTCTATACTCTAGTCTATAGTCTAGTCTATAGTCTAGTCTATAGTCTAGTCTATAGTCTAGTCTATAGTCTAGTCTATAGTCTAGTCTATAGTCTAGTCTATAGTCTAGTCTATAGTCTAGTCTATAGTCTAGTCTATAGTCTATAGTCTAGTCTATAGTCTAGTCTATAGTCTAGTCTATAGTCTAGTCTATAGTCTAGTCTATAGTCTAGTCTATAGTCTAGTCTATAGTCTAGTTCTATAGTCTAGTCTATAGTCTAGTCTATAGTCTAGTCTATAGTCTAGTCTATAGTCTAGTCTATAGTCTAGTCTATAGTCTAGTCTATAGTCTAGTCTATAGTCTAGTCTATAGTCTAGTCTATAGTCTAGTCTATAGTCTAGTCTATAGTCTAGTCTATAGTCTAGTCTATAGTCTAGTCTATAGTCTAGTCTATAGTCTAGTCTATAGTCTAGTCTATAGTCTAGTCTATAGTCTAGTCTATAGTCTAGTCTATAGTCTAGTCTATAGTCTAGTATAGTCTAGTCTATAGTCTAGTCTATAGTCTAGTCTATAGTCTAGTCTATAGTCTAGTCTATAGTCTAGTCTATAGTCTAGTCTATAGTCTAGTCTATAGTCTAGTCTATAGTCTAGTCTATAGTCTAGTCTATAGTCTAGTCTATAGTCTAGTCTATAGTCTAGTCTATAGTCTAGTCTATAGTCTAGTCTATAGTCTAGTCTATAGTCTAGTCTATAGTCTAGTCTATAGTCTAGTCTATAGTCTAGTCTATAGTCTAGTCTAGTCTATAGTCTATAGTCTAGTCTATAGTCTATAGTCTAGTCTAGTCTAGTCTATAGTCTAGTCTAAGAGATATCAACTATTGAATAAAATCCCTGAATTTTTGTTTAAAATTAGAACTAATTAATAATGAAATTAATATGTAAATTTTAAATTTTTTTTGGTGCAAAAGTTCTTGAGTTTATGATGTAGGATCAATTTCAAAAAAGCCTTAGGAACACCGTGAAACATTACTCAAATAACCATTGCGATAGTGAGATTCTTATGTCTATATTAAAGGACACGCAATCGAATTAAAAAGTGACATATAATATCCTATGTCATTATGTCCATGCATATTATAACACAACAAAAGGTGACAGTATCCATGGATGCATTATATACATAGAAACTGTGATATTTTTAATACAGAAATGTGTTGGATTATTTGATGAGAATTTAAGAAAGATGCACTCTTTTTCCGTATAGAATTGCTCCTTACTACTTTGGTGTATGTTGCATATTGGATTTTTAAAAAAGTGACTTGTTTTGCCAGCCTTCGGACGCGCAGAAGTTTTAAACTCTAGTTTTTCATAAAATTCGCATTGTTGCATTTTAAAGAACACAGTTAAAGAGGAGAGATAAACAAAAACAGATATTCAATGCAGAAGATTTACCGATTCGATTCAATAATAAAGAAATGTGAGAGAATCTTTTCCAATATTTAAAATCCTAGTGCACTGCGAGTGTTAAATCCCGTAATTTCTCCCAATTCGTCTTGGAACCTATTTCCAAGTCTTTTCAATCTGATATTCTGTATTCTCAGACAGTGGTAATCTATCGTTTCTAGTTCTTCTTTATGTTCGCATAACCTGACACCTATGCTTTCAGTTATTATCTTAGAAAGAGAATGAGAAAGTATTTGTGACTTTGTTGTGAGGTTTTCTTTTCGAATATTTAAATTCCTCAAATCTTTCATAATTTTGGACATAAGCCGTTGAAGCGTACGTAATTTGGATTTATTCTTGAACATTGAAATTAAAAAAGTTAAAAAATTTTAAAAATATTTTTTTTTTTTTTTTGATGAAAGTTATATAACGTCCGGCACTGCGGAATAAAGCTAGGATTAATATAGAAAACTTATAAATAAGTTGAGACGAAAGTACTTATTCTTGAATTACAATAAAACTTTAGACATTAGAAATTCAAATTATTTTGAGTTTTCGATCAACTAACTAACCCTCTGTGTTGGCTGAGATGTATGTCCCTTTAAAAATTTATTCATTACACCTTAATTTGCAATTGACTAAACCTTTTTTTGTTTTCCAAATTCTAAATTTTATTTTTTTGTTTATTTTTATTTTACGATTATTTTCTAGCAATGAACCGTTACAGAATAGTCGCGATTCTCAAAATAGCGGTAATGAAGAACGTGACGAATCAAAACCATTGCCACGTTGGCGTGCTCCCAGATTTAATCGTGACGATCAAAATAAAGACAATAGATCGCGCAATGCTCAAAGACGTTTTAGTGCCAGTTTTGACGATGATCGTCAAAGTATACGCAGTGATGGTGGTAGTATACGCCTCTACAGCATTAATGATCGCCTGAAACATGCTCAAGAGAAAATTGAACGTTCAGGCAATCAGTCATCGTACACGGGTATAGCGAATTCAAATTGGGATCGACAATCACAACGAGACGATCGCAGTGAACGTTCCTATATGAGCAACTATGAGCGTGGTAATAACCATCGTAGAGGTGGTGGTAGACACTATAATAATAGGCCCACTTACGACAAGCCACCACGTTTTCAGAAGAATAATAAAAATTCTAAAGATAAAAATTCAGATACCTGGAGAAGTTCAAATAGTAATTTACAATATGTGGATGAAAATTCTTCATACAACACAAATGGACCCGAGTCAAATAGTCGCAGCTCCTCAAGAGCACGCACCTTGCCCAGACCGGCCAAGTCTAGAATTGATGGCAACAATCAAAGTAATAACTATAGACGCAGTCAAAGTCCCAACAGTTATCAGCAGCGCGGTGGTGGTGGCAATCATCATCATCAACATCATAACCAGCATCAAAATAAAAATCGATCACACAAATTTGGCAGTCGTTATAGTAGTCAAAGCAGTTTGGCCAGTGATGCTTCCAGCACTTTAGATCGCCGCCACCATCAAAGAAATCGTTCGTTTTCCCGACGTACTTCTTCGCAACAGCAACAAGATCTTCCCAATGATATTCAGCATTGGAATGACAAGGATACAAATAGTGAATTGGTACGTAATGCTCGTCAAACTACAGACTATATGAATTATTTATCATCCAAAAAATAAACCTGCTCCCTTATAACAAATGTATCAAAAGAAATCGTTATATTTTTTAACGTTTTTAGTTTTGGAGGGAAAATTATTTTTTGCCATTTCTTTTCAAAATAAAAATCAAAAATAATTTTTCCCTCTAATAAAATATTATTGCAAAACAAATATGTTTTTTAACATTTAAGAATGATATCTACAGTTTCAATTAGGTTTAATTTTGTATGTTTTTGTCTGAAACAAATAATATTTATCCTATACATAGAGTGTGTGCGTGTGTGGTGTTAATATGTATGGTTTTAATATCCTTTTCTTACTTTATTACATTTTTTTAATTTTGTATTTATTTAGTTTTTGGTTTTTGTTTAACATATTACGGACATTGAAAGGAATGCTGTTTGTAACTTCAGAATACTAATCATTATATCTATTTTTTCTAGATTCATTTGGGTTTGTTTTTTCGGCGCAGATTTTAAAAGTTGTTATATGTATTTTGTTTTGTGTTAATAGTAAATTGTATTTAATTAATGTCTTATTAATTAATAATTTTTTGTCCATAGATTGTATAAACAAATTTGAAATTTTATTATTTTTTTTATCATACACGGGAATTCTTTTTAAAGGTCATTAAACTATTAACAAATGAAATTAATTTGTATATTTGCTACTGAATGATTTTGATGTCTAACTTGTTTCTATAGATGGACTATTTTTGCTTTTTATATGAGGAAAATAAACTCAAGAACTATTGCATCCAAATTTAGACAAAAATGTGAAGTTAGTTTTTTCTTTAAAGAAATATAGATTTAAGTCAAAATACAAACTAATATAATGCCAGCTTTGTAAAAAAATCTTGTCACAATTACATATATTTTTCCTCTCTGCAAATTATATTTATTTAGATAAAAAGTCAAATACGTTGTAAAAAAATTTATAATAACATAAATTATAATAAAGACGTATTTCTTCGTAATCGATGAACCCATGAGTTAAGGTAGTGTACATCAGACGCAACGCAGTGATGCTTTTCTGAACAGCTTTATTTGTGCCTGTTTCAGACACATACTTTCTTCTTGCCTAAGTTTAAGTTAAGAGGAATTATGTACCATAAAAAGGTTCAACTCCACACGCAGACCATAAGGTCTATTGTAATTCTCTTCGTAGAGTGTGAAAATTCAATGATAGAGAAACAAAACACTAGAAAAAAACAAAAAGAACATAAGTGAAGAAGATAGAGAAATGAAAACGGACCGATTTCAACCTGGATGTATAGATTCCCTAAAGAAAGAATTTTGAGAGAAACTGAGTCTTCCTATATAACCCAGTCGAAGAAATTACTAATATCCCTGATAGACTGCGAGGACTAAGTCTCGCAATTTCTTCCTGTTCGCCATGGAATCTATTTTTTAGCCACTTAAACCTGAAATTCCGTATTTTAAGACAGTGGCAAATAATGTGCTCAATCATCCCTAGTTCCTCTGCTTCGCATATCCTGCAATAGTCTGGTATATTACTGTCCCATTTACTGACAGAGGCCCTAATTGAGCAATGCCGCGTTAAGATCAATGTAAGAATCCTTAGACAGCTCACTATCCAATCCTACAATTATACTGGTAGCCCTCACATTAAGTGTTCGCCATAAGGTCTTTGGCATTTTGCATCCATTCTACTATTCTAGGACACGAATTCTCTCACAAATCAACCTAATATAGTGACATTGATGGTTTCACTCTTTTATCTATGTATATCATCTATGTCAAGGTTTGACCCTAATCTAGGTAGTTCGTCCGCAACCTCTTTATCACACACTTCGTAATGGTCCGGAACCTAACACAGTCTAATAGTAAACAGTCTCATAATGTCCTTAAACGCATTTCTATAATCAACAACCAGGCGCGAACGTACCGTTTGACATAAATTCTCATTACCGAGTCTAGATTGATATGATTCCGTATCCGTTCCTTCGCTTTTCAGATCGCTACGATCTCTTGGAAAGCACTACATTCATCAGGAAGTCTTTTTATATCGGTATTAGCGATATCCTTCTTGGACCCGTTGGGGAAAAAACTACACACACATCAAACAGTCTATCGGATACAAATCAGCCGTCCCTAGTTGGACGGTCTAGTCTATCTAATTGAAGTCAAGGGAAGACAATATGACCACCTTAATGAAGTCCAATATGTAAAATGCGCCTGTGCTTTGCAAAAACTCTAATTATTTAGTAAAACCTTTTTTCATAATCGGTATATAATGAAATTAGTTACAAGTTCCTGCTGGTTATTTAGCGAATCATAACATTTACAAAATTTTCCACATAAGGTAGGGAAACTATAACATATTGTCTAAATAGAACATTTTAGAGAGTATATAGTATCCGTTTCTTGCCGTTCCTTCCTTTCTTCGGATGGTGTAATTCTTATCTCGGGGAGGGGCACTTGACATCACCTCTACAACTACCTGCCGAATAAATTATGGACAGTCTTCTTTCGAGTGTTCCTCTTGGTAACCTTTTTCTAGAGTAACCTCTTCAGTTGGAGATGATTTTATGAAATTTGGTACAATTTTGGTACATTTTTGGCCATTTTTTCTAGCAAGACGTCCAAATGGCCAGTGGCCAATTACCACTGCAATAATGTTCCGTAGCTGTGCTCTCGGAATGTTTATTAAGGCTTGTGATGAAGGCTACATGATATTTACCAATCTGCATACAGCCTCAGTCGACCTGAATTGCGGAAGCTCGTGGAGTTTATCACGAATCGAGCGTTTGCAAGTTGAAAGTGGAATGCCGACGAAATTGTAGGCCTCGTTTCGCAGTTATCTGTTGATGATCTGGAATCGAGTGCAGTCATATTGTGGAATGTTTCTCCATCTCGTTAAGGGATGTCCGGCATTCGAGGACCAAGTATTAGGGTCTTTAGGGTTGCCTGGATATCAATGTATATTCGAATATCAACATTGTATATTCGATAAAACCTGAACCAATTTATGGATGTTAATTCAGCCTAAAGAATTCTTGATCACAAAGTCTGACGAAAACATAAATATACTAATATCTCTGCAAAATCGGTAGATATAAGTTTTATATAAACCTTAAAGATACTGCAAATTTTCGTATTGATCGCCTCTCATTTGACCCCTAGTTTCCATACAAAGTCCCCTTCCGATAATAACTTGAACTTTCATAATTCACTTATAAACGATGTGAAATTCGTTCATAACATTCATATAAACGTAAATCCCTTCATGATAATGTATAATGATCGAACCATATTTGAAAATTATGCATCCTTCAAAATGACATACTTATATGTATGTTACTTAAGACAGAAACCAAGTCATCTGTTGTGATCATTTACATACTATATAAATTATAGTTTAGGTTTAATAATCTTGCCACTTTTTTAAAATTCTTTTAAAATTCAATAGCTGTTTAGGTAAAAAGGAAATACAATTTTAAATAATAATGTTTTTTTATTAACAATAACTATTTAAATTGTTAAAAGTATTGTTTAATACCGCTATGCCGATTTTATTTAGTCTTATTATAATGAAAATCTTGTCGTAATACTAGCTAAGGGAAAAGAATCACAACTTCCTTTAAAAATGTAAAAATTGAAATGTTTTCACCAAAAATATCTGTCCTGTACTTAAATTTAGAATTTGTAGAAACCTCATTTGTAGTTAATTTCATGAATATTACATTAATATACATATTTATTTTATAAATTCTTTTAATTTGCAACATTATTTACTTTTAAAATATTCCTAAGGACTCGTTTAATAATTGACTTGGGCATTTATTTATGCATGATCCTGGTATAAAAAACGTTTATATTTTTACTTTTCCTTTCACTTGCACGCTATACTAGTATATTTATTAAATCAACACGTATGTAATGTATTTAAACCAAAATTGTAAAAAAGCATGGGTAAGCTAGAGAAGATGTTGTCGTCATGTTATTTTCATATGCAAACTGATATACATACGTACATATGAAAGACGTTGATAAATTAGAACGATTTTAATAAATTTATTGAAAATATTTCTTTCTTGTTTATTTTTAGTGAATTTTTTGGAAGATAAGGCAAAGATAAAGAATGTATTCCTTTCAATGTCTGCTCTAGTAAAAATTTAACTAAAAACCAATAGATACTCTGTGGTATAAAATAAAAAACAAAAGAAAAAATGGTATTTGAACATTTTTTTCTATAAAACAATAGATCTGAATATTAAAAGCTACAAAGTTAAACATAAAACATTTAAAAATTAAACATTTATTATCATTTAAATTACAAATCAACTAACCACCCTTACCCCTTATACCTTTCCCTCTTTTCTTAATACTATTTTAAATACTAGAATTTACGATTATTGTTAACAAATTTGCTTTTTTATTTTTAACTATTTTGATTAACATTTATTTATAGTTTATTTTAATTAAATAAAAAAAAATTGTATAAAAAACACTATTTAAAACAAAGAATTGGCCATTCTAAATGGTTTGTTGCTAACAGAAATAAAAATACAAATTATATATAGATTTAGAAACAAAAATAATTAACAAAACAAAATTTCCGCCGGAGCTCAGGTTTTTAACAACAACAATTATTTAATTCAGAAATTACAAACTGCCTTTTAGCTCAAACTCAAATTAAAATAAAAAGTAATAAAAAAATGAACAAAAAATTTGTTACAAAAAGTTTTAACCAAACAACCACCTTTAAATTAAATTAAATACATAGTTAATTCAGTTGCCATTTTGTTTATTGTATTTTACAAATTAATAATTATCGTATATGTATCCGCCATTTTCTATTTACTTGTGTCTATTTCCAATATCCCCTTTTACCTACCTACCCCCGCATAATATATCATTGTATATAGACTTTATGTATGTTTGCTCCATTTATCATTATAATTATATTTAATAATATTAATTAATATATTTGTTTTGTTTTCTCTCATGTTTTATTTTTCTACTTAAATTTTATTGTTTAACAAATAAGACAAAACATGTTTATTTTTTGTATGTTTATTAAGATTGATTGTTTAAAAATAAAACATGATTATTTTAGATAAATGTATTTTAATTTTATTTTCTCTCTTTTTTGTTTGAATTCTTTAAGTTAATTTTCTTTTTTCTTCCTATTTTATCACAAAAAAACTGAAAAAAATACTTAAAAATGTATTACATTTTAAAATATCACATTGTTATAAGAGAAATAAATAATAAAAGAATATACATAAAAATAAAGTAGTAAAACAAAATCCATTAATAGTTTTTAAGAGATTTATTAAAACAAAAATAATTAAGTTTAAAACAAATGTTAAAAACAAATAAATTTATAATTAGAACATAAAAAAACTTGAATCAAATTTGTTACTATAATTAAATTACCATATGTTTTATGTGAAACATCTTTGATCAGGCTTGGTTAATTATGGATCGATCGAAAAAATCGCAGAATGATTTTCATATATACGTACATAACTTACATACAGTAATTAACTGACTTTCGGAAGTAGAAACTATGACAAATTAAGGGCCGATATGGAAAAAATTTCGCTCAATTATTTGCGTATGTACCAGGGATGGTAAATCGAACTTTAAAATTGTACAAAACTGCATTTAATATTGTCAAATCGATATCTTCAGTCGGTAAACTAATCAATATATGTATCAATAAGCAAGTCCATTTGCCAATGTAGTAGTTCATTGACTAGGCAACGTGCTATTCTATAGACAAGACGGCAGACTAGTCTAGCCCAGTGAATAGGCAATTAACTAGTATATAGTGAAGTTTTTATACCAGTCCAAAGACTAATTCATAGGATAGTCCCTAGAAAACTAGACAATAAACTAGTCTACAGAATATACATTATATTATCTAGTCTATAGAATAGTCCATATCGTCACCTGAAATGTAAACGGCCCTAACTAACCAAAAATGTAAAATCGATTTTATTGTTGATTGTAATGTATTGCATCAAAAAAGAAATGTCCACTCCAAAAATTGGACTCCTCCGACCATAATTATCGATTTTATTGACAAAAAACAAAAGGCCCTATCTACAAAAACATTGAAATATTAAAGGCAAAAAGTCAAATTTATTTATTTTTATACCCTTCACCAAAGTATAACAGCACAGCACACAGCACCCGTAAATGTGGAGGTGGAATTTCGTGTACGTGAGAGTCGGACTACTTGTTATACTTTGCCCTTCACCTTCGTGAGAAGGGTATATATAAGTTTGTCATTCCGTTTGTAATTTCCAAAATATAATTTTCCGACCCTATAAAGTATATACAGTGAATCAATTAAGTAATTTGCCTATGTAAAATTTTATAAATTTTAAGAAAAAACTTTATCTGAACAATTATTTTTAGCAAAATAAAGCAATTTGTTTGTTGTATTTTTTAAAGAATATCTTATATTTTAATTTTCTACCATAAAAAGTAAAATCGTGATATTAATTAACGAGATTTTTGATAAAATCTGAACGTATTGTTAATTTTTAAGGTCAGTAAAGTATTTTGCTTTTTTAGGTTTTTTTGTGAATTTTTTTAATATTGCTGCATTATTTTATAAAAATTTCATATTTTTATTACTCCTATATATTAGAATAACATTTTTTAGATAATTTAGTAGTGGAACGACTAAGTTTGGACATTTCTTAGCCGATTTATTATCCTATATACCTATAAGAATTTTTCAATATCTGACTTAACATGAAATCTATAGTTTTTTGATTAAATTTCGAAAATAATAAGTAATTTTGAATTGGATACATGATATATTAGGAAATCAATGGATTTGGACCTAGAAAAAAATATTAGTGGGGTATAAATCTATAGATTATAACAAAAAAAATCTGGGTTTTTGGTCATTTTGTATTGATAAACAAAAACTACACTACGGAAACCCCATCTATTTGGGGAGTACTGTGTGAATTTTATTTAGAATTGTATAATATTGATTCTTATTCAATAAAGCTAACACTTAGTACTATCCTAGCCACTCTAAGTATGGGGATATCACCGTATACCACTATAGAACTATTACATGCTAGAATTTTGATATTCTACCTCATATTTTGAATGCATTATTTTATGAATAAAATACAGTAGGCGTAGCTGGATTTGGATAGTTATTCTTGATTTGGGTTCTAACTATATATAAGTGTATGTATTAGCTGAAAAATATTGCTTTTGTGGATCTTAGGTGATGAGAACCGCCTCTATTTGTAAATGCCTAAATTAAGTATTTTTCCCGTACCACACGATAGTTCACTTTATATTGTTTCCAAGCAACCTAAGGTCTGTTTAGAGGTCTAAATTTAAACATAGTGTTCTTTTAAGTTCGTATACGGACTTTGGAGAAGATAAATGAGGACTTCAATGGTTTTTGCTTGGATACAAGTCGCTCTCCTTTGGCAGTTAAAGATTTTGAAAGACAACTCAGTGCGTTTTTTTTAATAATTCTTTGTGTTAATTCATCAATTTCTATATTTTATATTTTTTAATGATTGATTAACCTTCTCATAATTGAATTTCATTGATTTATACTTGTCCTAAAAATCTAAACTAGTTTTTTATATTGTAATTGCCTCATTATTTCCTTTTAAACATTTTTAACGCAAATAACTACACAGTTTCACACAATGAGGATATGATTTTTGAAAATTACAATTGAAAAATACTTAACACGTGTCCTTCTAACAATAAAACAATAAATTTCAAAAAGCAATTAAAAAATAATTTGAAAAACCCAACGAAATTAACTGGAAATTTCAATATGCAAAATACTTTATTGACGTGCAAATTCTGATGAAAAATAATAAAATGCAACAACAAATGCACCAACATTTTTATTTTAATATTTTTTTCTTGGTTTTCCCATTCTACACAATCTCTATTTTCAATTGGAAGACATAAATTTACTTTTTACCTGTTTTTTTGAATTTTATTTATGAACAAAAAACGAAATTCTCTTAAAAAAAGGTAGGCAAAAAACTTAGTTGATTCACTGTATATTCTGAATCCTTATAGATAGCGGAGTCGATTAAGCCATGTCCGTCTGTCTGTCTGTTGAAATCAGTTTTCTAAAGACCCCAGATATCTTCGGGATCCAAATCATCAATAATTCTATCAGACATGCTTTCGAGAAGTTTCCTATTTAAAATCAGCAAAATCCGTCCATAAACAACGGAGATATAAGCAAAAATCCGAGACAACCTCTGAAAATTTCGTATGTTTGAATGGCTGTGTGTTTCAATGCCATGTGTATGTTGTTTTTGTTTCTTGGTGTATTCAGTTTCGTATGTTTGGATGGCTGTTTATTGTTTTTGTTTCTTGGTGTATTCGTATGTTGGGATGTCTGTTGGTTTCACTGCGTTGTGTATTTTGTTTTTATTGTGTTTTTTAAATAACGTATTTCTTTATTTAAATTTAGATATACAGCAATGAAAAATTAACAATCGAATAATTTCAATTTAAAACATAAACTTCAAAAAGTAAACAAAAATCATAAGTTACTACAAACGTTTAAGAATCAAATTTAAACAAGTAGTATTAAACATAACATTTATCTCTTCCTTTAGGAATTGTCAGGTGAAAATAAAACTCTTGGTTTTGGAATCCTTTTTGATCGTCGTAGATGCTGATCACTTGGTAAATGTGAATTCTCTATATTTAACTGTTCACTGGTTTCTTCTCGTCGCGCTTGCGCTGTTTTGTAATGTGGTGTTTGCGGGTGGTTTTGATTTTGACCAGCTTGTGGTGTTTCAAATTCATCATCTGTATCCTTTTCCCGAACAGGAGAGCGGACAACATTATCTTCATTTACTGGATCTCTTGCATTATTAGGAGAACTTGAATTTATTTCAGGATGCTGAAGATTAGGAGCGGGATGTCTGGGGACTAAAACATTATCAGTCATATTTTCTGGATATATAATACTCCTATAAGACCTGTTTTCCTCAGATCTTCTGTTTCCATAACTCAGGTTTCCATTTACCACATCCTTTTGTACACCTTGAGTAGCACCACGAATTTGATCAATATGTCTTCGTACATACTTATTTTCATAAAGAATTTCGTAATGAATATCGCCTAAACGCCTATTTATTTTACCTGGTATCCATTTGCTTTCCTTTTGATTACCGGATAAAAAATATATATTGTCACCCACTTGAAACTCTCTAAATTGCTCATGTTGTTTCAAAAATTGTTTATTTGTTATTTTAGAAGAAACATTTTCTGGATGTACTAAATCAAGGCGGGTGCGAATTTGACGGCCTAGAAAAAGTTGTGCTGGAGATACTCCAGTTGTTGAATGAGGTGCATTCTTATACTGCCTTAAAAACTCGTTGAGATTTTGTTGTAATGTTTGTTTTGATGTACACATAGCTTTTAATGCGTTTTTTACTGTTTGAACGCTACGTTCAGCTTGGCCGTTAGTAGAGGGATGATAAGGTGCAGTGTATTTATGATATCTGACTCCCACAGCCGTCAAGTATTTGTTAAACTCTTCTGATGAGAAATTTGTACCATTATCGGATACTACCATCGCTGGAACACCGTAATTTGCAAAAACTTCATCGACTAATGCAATTGTTGCCTCAGCTGTTATAGATTTAGTTATTTTCACATCCAGCCATTTGCTATAGGCATCTGTAATAATTAGTAACATCATACCCTCGAAAGGGCCAGCATAATCTATATGCACTCGTTCCCAAGGACCTTTGGGATATTCCCAGTGATGATCTGTATACTTCTTAGGTTTATTTGCTACTCTTGCACAATCGTTGCAGTCTTTTGCCACTGCTTCAATATCTGCATCGATTTTTGGCCAATACACAAAGGAACGAGCAATACCTTTCATTTTTACCATCCCTAAATGAGCTGCGTGTAGATTTTGAAGAATGTCTTTTCGAAACTTTTGTGGAATTACAACTCTGTGTTCGAATATTAAGCAATTACCTGAGAGTCTATAATTCGATTCTGGTGCAGTATAACCATATTTTGCCAACGAATGTCCTTTCTCTAATATTGCAACTATTTTTCCAAGTACTGAATCTTTACGGGTTTCATTGGCAATTTTTTCAGCTGTAACGGGTAACTGGTTAATTTGTCGGAAAATAAAAGTATCAAACTCGTCGTATTCAGTAATTACATAATTTTCGTTGCATTGTGACTTTACTGAATTATCTGGAACAATACGTGACATGTAATCTGCATTAATATTCTCTTTGGATGGTTTATATATTATCTCGAAGTCAAAGTTACTTAAAAAATCGGCATAGTTTGCCATACGAGAAATACAAAGAACTGGAAGCGATTTACTAGGGTGCAAAATCTGAGTAAGTGGCTTGTGATCGGTTATTAATGTCCAATGCCGTGCATATAAATATTTAAAGAATTTTTGAACGGCCCATACTATGGCCAAAGCCTCTTTATCTATTTGAGAGTAACGTTGTTCTGTCACACTCATTGTTCTACTTGCGTATGCTATAGGTCGTTCTTCGCCATTAGGTAAACGGTGAGACAATACCGCGCCCAAGCCAGTTTTACTAGCATCCGTTGCCAACAATAATGGTAGTTTTGGATCATATGATATTAAAACTTGTGGAGATACTAAAATTTTCTTAATATCGTTGTAAGCAGCATCCGCGATTAAATTCCATGAAAATACCTTTGATTTTAGAATATCTCGTAATGGCCTCTCACGGGTTGCTAGATCCGGAATAAAGGCACTATAGTATGAGGCTTTACCTAGAAATAGCTGTAAGTCTTCTAAAGAGTTTGGTTTCGGTGCGTTCAATACAGATTCAATATGCTTATTTGACTTATGTATACCCTTGGCATCAATTAAATGCCCTAAAAATTCCACTGACGTTGCTGCAAAAACACACTTCGATTTGTTTAATTTAAGACCACACTGTCTAATTCGGGCCAAAGTCAAATCTAAAATTTGTTGTAATTCATTAAAATCTTTTGCAAATAATAGTATATCATCGAAGAAATTAAGACAATTAGGTAATCCTTTTAAAACTTCTTCCATTTTTCGCTGCCATATTGCTGGAATATTTGCAGCCCCATAGACTGCACGAGTGGGTTGTATAAGGCCATGAGTAATAGTATTTAAGGTAAGAACATGTCCAAACTCTTCATCTATTGGCAAATGCGTATATGCGTCGGTAACATCTAGATGAGCAAACATTGTAGCACCCTTAATTCTGTTGAATAAATCTTCTGGTTTTGGAATAGGATGCTCATCGATAATCATTTGAGGGTTGACCGTAGGTTTATAGTTTCCAGTAATACGTATAGCTCCATTTTTTTTAGTTACTACATGGGTCGTGGAAGCCCATTCTGAGAATTCGACTTTTTTATAATAACCGGCAGCAATTTTAGCATCAATTTCCTTGGCATATGCTTCTCTTAAAGCTAAAGGAACTTCTCTTGGTCTAGCGAATATGGGTCTAGCATTCGGCTTCATATGAATCTTTATAGGAGGACATTTAAGCTTTCCAGCTGAACTTCCAAATACATCATCAAATTTATCTACAATTTGTTGTAGTTGATTTTTTTCAATAGAATTTAATATCGATACATCGGAAGTAATAGTATTTAAACTAAAGCTATCGTTTGGAGAGTTATTATTTGGCGGTGTAGATGCGAATAGATCTGAAAAATTAATATCGTGTGCAAAATGACTTATCCATTCACGGCCGCACAAAGTGTCTAAATCATCTTCTACAACATATAAATTCAAGACACGAGAAGTTTTTCCCAAAGTCACATTTACTACAACTCTGCCAATACAATTTATTGAGTGACCTGTATAGCTAGCAAATTTTCTGTCAGATTTATGTAAAGTGTAATAGGGTTTGATAGCACGTAAGCGTTTCTTGCTAATTATACTACAAGGAGCACCAGTATCAAGCTCCATTTCCAATTTCCTACCATCGATACTCACAAATATCATTTTCTTTTCATACGGTTTTGAAAATTTAATTTTATTTATAAAACGCAATTGCTCAACAGAATCGTTTTCTTCGTCCTGTTCCATCGTTACTTGACCAGTTTTACTTTTACATACCTTAGAAATATGGCCGATTTTACCGCAAGCGAAGCATTTCGCACTCTTAAATTTACAGTTGTTTCTCGTGTGATTCCCATTACACCCGTAACATTTACCTTTATTTGGAAATACAGCATCAGATTTACTATTTTTATTTTTGGTTTTAACTGGAGCAAAACCTAACTTGAATGTCTGTTCCGGTTGCGAAGGCTCATTGCTGGATTTAACTTCTTTTGTTGCATGATGAGTTAGTTCTCTAGCATAAGCTATCTCGTATGCTTCACTAAAGCTCTGTGGTTGTTTTGCAATCAGTTCATCACAAATAGTTGCAGATTCTAGCCCCATTAAAAGCTGCTCAATTAGCATCCTGTCTAAAAATTGGCCGTACTCGCAGAAAACTGCTCCATTTTTCAATCGAAGACTAAATTTTGCTACTGATTCTCCCGGTTCTTGTTTCATTTGTCTAAATTTCACGCTTTCTGCATATTTATTTTTCTTTCCATCGAAATGACGAATCAGAATGTCTTTGATTTCAGCATAATTTAATTCTCCTGGCGATCTCGGACTTGTTAATATTTTTAAAGCTGTATTCAGTTGTGTGCCCATATGCACACGTGCGTAATTTGCATACTCAGTTTCTGCAACTCTCGACAACTGCAACGCCCAGTCGAACCTAGTAAAATAATCAGAAACTGATCCTCCATCTTCTTGTTTATATTCGACCATTGAAAATTGTGGTGGTTTTGAATTCAATTCTGCAGAAGATGAAGGCGACGAAAAACCCATGGATGCAGTCTGCGCCACATCTGCAACTGCAGAGCGAATTGCTCCTGCCAGTAATTCCATAACATTCGATAGTTGCTCTTGGGACATACTCATTATATCCCACTTCTGACACCAATATTGTGTTTTTTAAATAACGTATTTCTTTATTTAAATTTAGATATACAGCAATGAAAAATTAACAATCGAATAATTTCAATTTAAAACATAAACTTCAAAAAGTAAACAAAAATCATAAGTTACTACAAACGTTTAAGAATCAAATTTAAACAAGTAGTATTAAACATAACAGTTTTTTTTTTGTGTACTTCGTTTCGTATGTTTGGATGTCTGTTGGTTTTACTGCCTTGTGTATTTTGTTTTTTGTGTGTTTATTTCGTTTAGCGTTGTTGTTGTTTATTTTGTTTAGCTATTACTATAACAATAATATTGTCGGGAAAATGAAATAAATTTAAATTTTATAAAATAGATTTTTTTAAATACACTATGGTGAACGGTATATAAGATTCGGCACAGCCGAATATAGCACTCTTACTTGTTATATACGCCATTGTCAACTATTATAACAAATGATAGGTTTCACTATTAAACAATTTGTTTATTTCCTACAAATAAATCGCGTTGATAGAAACAAATTTTTCAATTTAAGTAGTTTTTTGCTTCTCCTGTAAAATGTTCAAAATGTTAGATAGGGCCGTTTGCGTTTTAGGTGACGATATACAAGTCCAAAGACTAATTCATAGAGTAATCCCTGGTCTAGTTAATAGACAAGACCATAGAAAAGCGATCGTATAAAAAAATTATTCTAAAAAGTACTCTCTTTGGTAATAGTTATTCCTGTTTGTCTGATTTAATATCTTCCAATCTTCTTTACAATGTGAGAGAATATAAAGAAGAATTGTAAATGTTATCTTCTGAAGTTTAGTACATATATTTTAAATTATTATTTCAATGATTAAAATTGTAAAAAATGGGTCATTGGTGTACCCATTGTACTTTTGAAGATCGAATTGTACAAAAAAAGACAAATATACCAATTTTGACAACGCTGGTATGTGCACGACATATTCGTCCTAAATTTTGTCCTGATATGGTTATTTGTTAATGAATTATGTTCGTTTTGTTTATTTTCAGAACATTATCTTGTATGGGAGCTATGGTCAATGAGTTTGATTTCATACTTTTTCTGAATTTACATTCGAAAAATCAACTTTTTGTCGAAAAAAGTCAAAATCGACAATTTTGCCCTAAAAAGTCAAAATGTTTGTAGCTAAACGTCAAAATAAGTTGTAAAAAACGAAAAGTTGACTTTTTGTTTCAATAGAATAATAGAAATCTATTAGAAGGAATAAGAAAAAGTAAGATTTTTTCCAGAAAAGGATTATGGTACATTTTCAAACAATGTTTGAGTGATTTATTTCTAAATAGAATTCATATTCTGTGATTCCAACAGTTGCCAATCAACTATCTATTGAAAATAATATAATAGAATTTCTTGAAATTAACGGTTTTAGTTACACTTTTTAACAACGATTTATTCTAAAACTTGGCAGCACTCTGAACATATGTTAAAATTAACCTAATTGGAAAAATAGTAAAACCAAGCGTATTTATACAAAAGGAAATCAATTCTATTTATTGATTAGTATAAATTATGGACACTTCAAAATACATTTTTTTGTTTTTAATTTAAGTTTTCATTAATTTTCATATTAAATTTACAATTGTCTTCTTCTTTTTATAAAATATGCATTGTTTTGATAACAAACAGTAAGGTTTTCTGTTGTTTTATATGGCAACACTGCGAAGTTTAATCTTGTACTCAAAAACATCAAAGGGGATTAACATAAGATTAAATTTATTATACCCTCCACCACCATCAGTGGTGATAGAGGGTATATATAACTTTGTCATTCCGTGTGTAACACCAAGAAATATTCATCTGAGACCCAACAAAGTATATATATTCTGGGTCCTTATCAAATTCTGAGTCGATTTAGCTATGTCCGTCTGTCCGTCTGTCCGTCTGTCCGTCTGTCTGTGTAAAACACGCTCACGATAAAACGAAGCAATAGAGCTTGACCAAATTCACCCAAAATGTTCTTCATTTTCCTAAGTTGTTTGGTATTGCAAATGGGCAAAATCGGTTCACACCGGGAAAAGTTATGAATCAAAATTTAAAACAACCTCGGAAAAAAATAAGCATTTTTTACACATTCTGATGTAGTTTTCTCGAAAACTATGCAAGATAATTCCATGGAAATCACCATACATTCGTTTCTGCACATGATCTTGATCCCTGCTGAAAATTGCCAGAATCGGTCCACAATTTCATATACCTCCCATACAAAAGTACATATTCCCGGAAAATGGGTTTTTTGTTAATAACTTCCGCCACAATGTCGATATCTTCACAAAATTTTACAAATTAAAATCTTATGTCAATAGAATTCTTTCAGAGGAAAAATTTTATGGATCGGTCCATAATTGGACATAGCTCCCATACAAGGTCCCCTCCCGAAAATCACTTAAACGAGCATAACTCATTACTAAATTAAGATATTCAAATAAAATTTGGTATAAGTATTGCCCATATGCATAGAAATATTACTGTGAAATTTTTTTCCGATCGGTCCATAATTGGTCATAGCTCCCATACAAGGTCCCCTCCCGAAAATCACTTAAACGCGCTTAACTCATTACTAAATTAAGATATCCAAATAAAATTTGGTGTAAGTATTGCCCATATGCATAGAAATATTACTGTGAAAGTTTTTTCCGATCGGTCCATAATTGGTCATAGCTCCCATACAAGGTCCCCTCCCGAAAATCACTTAAACGCGCATAACTCATTACTAAATTAAGATATCAAAGTAAAATTTGGTGTAAGTATTGCCCATATGCATAGAAATATTACTGTGAAAGTTTTTTCCGATCGGTCCATAATTGGTCATAGCTCCCATACAAGGTCCCCTCCCGAAAATCACTTAAACGCGCATAACTCATTACTAAATTAAGATATCAAAGTAAAATTTGGTGTAAGTATTGCCCATATGCATAGAAATATTACTGTGAAAGTTTTTTCCGATCGGTCCATAATTGGTCATAGCTCCCATACAAGGTCCCCTCCCGAAAATCACTTAAACGCGCATAACTCAGTACTAAATTAAGATATCCATATAAAATTTGGTACAAATATTACTCATATGCACAGAAATATTGTTGTGAAATTGTTTTCCGATCGGTCCATAATTGATCATAGCTCCCATACAAGGTCCCCTCCCGAAAATCACTTAAACGCGCATAACTCATTACTAAATTAAGATATCCAAGTAAAATTTGGTATAAGTATTGCCCATATGCATAGAAATATTACTGTGAAATTTTTTTCCGATCGGTCCATAATTGGTCATAGCTCCCATACAAGGTCTCCTTCCGAAAATCACTTAAACGCACATTACTCATTACAAAATTAAGATATCCATATAAAATTTGGTACAAATATTACTCATATGCACAGAAATTTTGTTGTGAAATTTTTTTCCGATCGGTCCATAATTTATCATAGCTCCCATACAAGGTCCCCTCCCGAAAATCTCTTAAACGCACATAACTCATTACTAAATTAAGATATCCATATAAAGTTTGGCAAAAATATTGCTCATATACAGAGAAATATTACTGTGAAATTGTTTTCCTATCGATCCATAATTGATCATAGCTCCCATACAAGGTCCCTTTCAGAAAAACACTTAAAGGCACATAACTCATTACCAAATAATGATATAAATAAATACTATTTTTGTTCATAAATACTATTTTGTAATGCAAAAAGCACTTAATGCTATTTCAAAAATTTTTCACGATCGGTCTATATTTGGTCATATCTCTCATACTAGGTCCTGCCCCTAAAAGCGCTTTAACCGTATTTAACTATTTGCATTATCAATTTGTGTAGAACAAAATTATATATATGTATGTATTTTTAAAATCCTTAAATCTTTCACACACATGCATACATGCAAATACGAGATATCGCTAAAGCATATCTTAGGGCGCTATAAAAATGTAAATGAAAGTGGCGTTTCTAATGTTCAATAAATCTTGGAATTGTAGTAGATTTAAGCTGTTTAAATCTTGGGATTTTTCTATTTAAGACATGAGAAAACTTATTTCTACAAATATTTTATTAATTAGAAATGTATTAATACAAAAGTTGCTGGTGGAGGGTATTTAAGATTCGGCTCAGCCGAATATAGCACTCTAACTTGTTTTTAGATTAACTAATCTGATTATTAATTGGCATTTGATTACCATCTCAAAAACCCGCTCTAAGACAATCACAGTAAAAACTATTTAATGCAAATAAAGTTATTCCGTCATTAAATTACTTATTTTTTCATTTAAATTAATTGTGGATCGTAGAAACTCTATAAAAAGAAAACCATATGTACATATCGTCACCTAAAACGCAAACAGCCCTATTTAACATTTTTAAAATTTTACAGGAGAAGCAAAAAACTATTTAAATTGAAAAGTTTGTTTCTATCAACGCAATTTATTTGTAGTAAATAAACAAATTATTATCATTTGTTATGATAGTTGATAATGGCGTATATAAAAATGGATAAATTGGACTTTTTGTCTTTAAAATTTTAATGTTTTTGTAGATAGGGCCATTTGTTTTTTGTCAATAAAATTGATAATTTTGGTCGGAGGAGTCCAATTTTTGGTGTGGATATTTGTTTTGATGCAATACATTAGAATCAACAATAAAATCAATTTTGAATTTTTGGTTAGTTAGGGCCGTTTGGGTTTCAGGTGACGATATACAAGATTCGCCTTTGGCTGAATTCGCTTTAACAACATCTGAACGGATATACATACATAATTTCAAGTTGTCACACATGACAGTTATATTTAAAAATTTCACTTTATATAGCTTTGAGATATTCTTTTAGAATTTCCTATAGGGAACTTTGTTTTGTATTAATCATCATTGCGTCGTTGTTGTTATTCTTTTATTTATATTTGTTATTGCGAAATTTGTTGGATGCAGTTGTCTTCATTAGTCTACACTTCAAGACAAAGAAAAAAGTTAATTCTCTGGACGAAAATTTCATAATTATTTCCAAAACAATAATGGAGGAAGAAAATAAAGAGGAAAATGTTGAGACTAAAGTGACATCATTGCAATCATCTTTAAACGTGATGTGTGCGATTTGTAGTGAATTTTTTAAAAGTACCGATATCATTTATAGTACTTCAAAGTGTGGTCATGTTTTTCATCGCCAGTGCCTGTTCCGTTGGCTGACACGTTCCAATACCTGTCCCCAGTGTCGTGCCAGTGTACATCAACACAATGTGCATCGTTTATTTTTGAATTTCAGTGAACCCACTGCAATGGACGAAATCGATGCCGAACCCATTAAGAGTTTTGAGTGGTTGTATGTTGACGAAAGTATTACGGCCGAAGAAATAGCACAATTTGGTTTTATATTGGGTCTAGATAAGGAAAGTGATCCATTATTTGCGGCTCGTGTCTATTTAGAGGATGATCTCTTGCCGGCCTATTATGTGCCTAAATTAAAAGGTGCTTACGCTGCTTGGAATTGTGAATCTCATTTTCTAACCGAAGGCATTGAACTATTACACATTAATAACGATAATGCTGATTACAAATGGTTGCCAAGCTCGAATGGTGAAATACCAACAAATGCTTTAGCATCCGGCTATGCTGAAACTGGGGAAACCTTATACACTGCCCGTTATGTACACAATGATAGGATGCGTTATGGAAAATTGCATCCATCACATGGCTGTGCCTATATACCATATAAAGGAAAGGAACTTAATAATCGAAACTATGAAGTACTGGTTAGAATACCCAAGGATAGTGTATAAATCAATTTCATTTGCCAATCTTTCTGTATATTTATTAGTATATTGTATAAATAACGCTTATATATTGTTTTTTATCTGTTTACTTTTAAAACTGGACTTTTTGGATTTACTGACATACATATTTGTGAAATTAGCGTTATGTATTTGTTAAAAATATTTTAATATAAGCTATATTAATGTTGTTGTATTTTAAGATGAAGAAAATTTAATTTAAATTTTACCAATGTTTTGAAAATCTTCTTATTTGAAATAATACAGTATACAATACTGTTATTTTTTAGATAAAATTAAACATTTCCAATTTGACAGTTTTCCGTCTAAATATTTTCTAAATTATTATTATTATAATTGTTATTATACTATTATTATATTTATACCCTTCTGACGAAGGTGAAATGTAGAGTAATAAAAAGTTTATTTGCGAAAATTTCATTCTATTTTTATAATGGGTACTTTTAATTTAATCATTGTATTGCATTTGAGGTCATAACATGTTCTTTTATTTTCTTCTTATTCTTAGTAATGCAAATAATATCATATTTTTGAAAACAATACAACTGCTTTTGCGATCATGTTTAATTGTACGTTATTTAAATTATTTTTTGTTATAATAATGGAGATGAGTCAATCAGTCTATGCAACTTGTAATAGGTTAGGTTAGGTATTCAGGCTGCAAAGACGCACACTTGGGTCCTGTTGGTCCCTTTGTGATACCTGTAAAGATAATAAAATATAAAAGAAAGAGGGTAGAGGATAGTAGAAGATAGTTTAGGATTAAGTCATAGAAGAGAAATTGAAGTGGAGGAGAAGATTGAGAGGTCTGTCCTTGTGGACTAGTGAATGCCTTAATTATGGCTTGGTGGTCCTAAAACCAGTTACTGTGCCTGATGAAGGCATTTATGTTATCCAGTCCTAGACTGGATAGTTCTGACAAATCATCAAATAGTCGTTTTCCTAGATATACGGATCGAGTGTCCGCTAGCGCAGGGCATTGACAGAGAAGATGTTCGATAGATTCTTCCTCCTCTTCGTCTTGACAACTTCTACAGAAGTCGTTGTGGGGAATTCCAAGTCTTCTTGCATGGTTTCCCAATAAGATATGCCCCGTAATGACAGCAACAAGGTTGCTGATATGAGGGCGGTTTAGTTGCAGAAGATATGACGTGCGTTTACTGTCCAAATTTGGCCATATCTTCCTGGTATTGATACAAGTTGGTTCATTACGCCATCTTGTCTGAGAAATTTCATAGAACTTTCCATCTATTATGGTCTTGCAAGCTTTTAGCGGTATTCCGCAAAAGATGTCTATGTCTCTGTCGGACATTGAGGCTCCTAGTTTCGCTAATTCATCAGCGATATAGTTGCCAGTCAAATCCCCGTGTCCCCGTACCCATTTGAGCACGATTATTGAATGTCTCGCCATCCTGTTTAAGGATGCCCGGCATTTCTGGACTAGTTTAGATGTAGTATATACACCAATCAGGGATTTGATAGCAGCTTGGCTATCGGTACAAATTTGAATATCTCTGTTTGATATTCTGTAGTACCAAAGCCAATTTGCTGCTCTTTTTATGGCTGATAGTTCAGCCTGTAGTGGACTACAATTATTCTGTATCCTAAAGCTTATTTTAGTTCCAAATTCAGGGATAAAAATGCCACCTCCAACTCGTTCCCCTTTTTCGAACCATCCGTATATACCAGGAGGGTTCTTGGGGAACTGTTCTCCTCCAGTGAAGAGTTTTCGGATATTGTGTATCCGAAGTCCCTACGGAGGAAAGGTTTGGGTGTGCAGTAATCAATATTGCCCGGGAGGAAAGATGTTTCCTTCATAATAGCCGCATGGCCGTATGGCCTGTGTGTCCAAGCATTTATGGCATCAAGTCTGAGGGCAGTGATGAGTGCCAGTTTTCTGGCTATCAGATCCGTTGGGATCCAATTAAGCATTGCGAATAGAGATTTGGTGGAAGTTGTTCTCAGTGCTCCTGTTATAAGGATTGCTATCCTTCTTAGTACCTTATCAAGAAGTATACAATTGGAGTTGTTGTCCAGTGCTTTCCACCAGACAACAGCCCCGTAAAAGAGAATAGGTTTAATAACCGCTTCATGGATCCAATTTGTAATAACAAAACGTTAATTTTACCAACAGAGTTGGTGATGAAAATGTGAATCATCTGTTGATTATCTATAAATCAACGTGATTATCTATTGTGTTTTCTTACATGTTACTGTTATTCTTAATACGTCTGTTATTCTAATAGTCTAATGAATTTGAAGTGGTAGCGGATAAATATCAAGCCACATCTACTGATTACTTTGAACTTGGAGGATCTATTTCTGAGAAAAATGATATGTACAATGTACATACATGGAAATCGGCTTCGAAGACTATTGAATCTCTTACAGTGAATTTTAATTATGGTAATTAAGAGCATAGTTTGACGCTCCCTCCTTGTGATATCCACTCGTTCGGAGAGGGTTATGTTTCTAGACCAACTTTTGGGGATTTATTTACCGCAACTTCTAAGAGTTTCTAAATCCTTTACATATTTCTAAAACTTATTACAAACGCATTTCTATTCTATGGAAAACCTTATTAAAGAGGTAAAATATTAATAAATATATAGAGGAGATTTACATGTCTCATTAATTTTGCAATAACATATTTTGTTTTATTTTTATACATAAAATCTTGGGAAATGTTTTTGGTGCTGAACATCTGTAGTAGTATTTTTTTTAGGTTTCCTCACTAAAATCTCGTAAGAACCAGTACAAATTTCCAGATCTTTATAAGGCACATATGCTGAATTATAACGTTGATGCAGTTTACCATATAACATCATATTTTCATGTTCCGCTCGCGCCGTATAGAGAACATCACCCATGATAGTGTGTCCAGTGGCAAAGGCATTTTCGGGAATTTCACCATTGGATGCTGCAACCCATTTGTATTCTGCATCATCATTTGAAACATCTAATAACTCTATGTCATCGGTAATTAAGTGTGATTTAAAACCCCAAGGAACAATAACGGATTTCTTGTGAGGCACATAATAGCCAGGTATAAGATCACCATTGAATCGACCACGAGCAGCATATATATCATTGCCTTCTTCATTCTGGCCAAATTTCAAAGCGAAGGCATCTATATCACTAACATCCATATCATGTTCTATATAAAGCCAATCGTAAATTTTAGGAAATTCCATTTCCGGTCCATTTTCACTAGGTACCGTTTCCACAAAATTAATATACAACTGATGACAATTATGTTTCAAACAATTCTTTCGACATTGTGGACAGGTTAATGAACGTCTTAGCCACCTGAATAGACACCCCTTGTGGAATACATGTCCACAACGGGTAGAGTATATTATATCGTTGTGTTTGAAAAATTCACTACAAATTGCGCACAAAATATTTAACGAAGACATTTGCAAATTTAAAAGTGAATCAAAATTAACTTAAAAAATTAGTACTTTTAGATAAAAATTTGTTTAATTTCTATTCTTTAACATTTAATTTATCCATGATTTAAATAATGCAGTAGTAGTAATGTTGTGAAATTAAATTTGTCTAGTTGCATTCTTAACAGTGTGATAATTTAGCGATCTTTCTATTAAATGTAGAGATTTTAATAGCAATGTTATGAATTAATCTCTCTAACATGGCAACACTTTTGTTATTATTAATTCACCACTACTGTTAATTCTCATATAACGAAACGAATAGGGTTCTATAAATCGACTTTCGAATAATCGAACAATTGACTTTTTGTCGAAAAAAGTCGAAAAGTCGAAGTCGACTATTTTGTTCCAAAAAAGTCGATAACTCGACTATGGTCTGTGAAAAAAGTCGAAAAATCGACTTCGTTAATAAAACTCGAAAAAAAATCGATAAGTCGAAAAGTCAAAAATAGTCGAAAATCTTAAAACAGTGGAAAAAAAAGTCGAAAGAAGTCGAAAATAGTCAAAAAGTCGAAAAATCGAAAAGTCGGAAAAAGTCGAAAAAAGTCGAAAAAATTCGAAAAGTCGAAAAAAGTCGAAAAGTCGACTATTTATAAAATATTTATAGTCGAAAAGTCTAAAAGTCGACTTTTAATTAAATAAAAAAGTCGAAAAATCGACTTTTCATAAATGCAAAAAGTCGAGAAGCCGAAAAGTCGACTTTTAACTAAATGAAAAAAGTCGAAAAGTCGACTTTTCGTTTCAACTATAGAACACTAATAACGAACGAAAATGTATAGCTTATTTGAACCAAACCAAACTAGTCACACTTGTTCCTCTTTGCAAACTATCTAAAATGTCTGCCTTTTCTTTTAACTGCAAACATTTAGATTTTTTTATACTCATAACTTCAAATTTCTTTGCCATATAAACAAAATAATTTAGGGGATATACATTCATTTATATAAGGAGATTCCCAAAATTTTAAAATTCGAATTTAATGAATGTATTTCAATGTTGTCTACATGCTTAGAAAACATATATTGTGAAAAAAATTGTTCACGTTATAGAGCTTTCTGTGTTTGTTCACGTTACAGAGTAGTCAATGTAAAAAACATCTCGTTCACGTTAGGCGGTGTTCACGATAGACGGTGTTCACGTTACCGCGAGTGCACTGTATTTGTAAGAAAGAAAATGTTCTTTCGCATTTAGAGAAACCGGCCGTAAGTAATTTCCCATAGATTTTGTTAATTTGAAATCAAGTTTGCTTAATCTCATTGAAATTAACTTGTAATCACAATGTACAGCCCTGTCTTTGTGTTAAAATTACCTACATATTTTTACAACTGTGCGCGAAACAAAAACTAATGCATATTTTAAAACAATATAAAAACGATAAAAATTAATTAAATTGCTAAAAAAGTTAATAAAAGTGATTAAAGTAATTATTTAAAGTTTAAAAAGATCAATGTTACGCAAAAGAACGTTTTTAGCCTGCAAGCAAAATCCGTTTGCCAAAAACAACAGTCTGAACAGGTAAGATTTCATTTCTAGCCCAACTTTTCAATCGGTCTGAATGGGGTATAACGGTAATACTCCATTCATTATACATACTGCCGAAATCTCTTTCAAGTGAGATTTGAAAAAAACGAAATCTATACTGTTTTACATTCCTTTATTGAAAATTCGTTTTTCAAAATCAGCGGAATCGCTCCATACATAAAGGAGATTTCCGCAAAATTAAGAAAGAACCCATGATGCCAATATACATATATTATGGAAAAAATTGTTAAATTTTTTAGAAAATATAACAGCTAATTCCAAAATGTAGGCACAAGTTATTGTTGTGATCCAAGGATAAACTCGGTTGAAAATTAGTACAATTGGGATGACTCTGTCCTCCAACCATGAGCAGACACCGCAGTGGTGTCATGTTCCCCAAACCTCTGTGCGGCGCTGGATTCTCCAAAGGAGTCCTTCTACAGCTCTAGAAGGACGTCCACATTATATGTCCATGCTTCAAGATCCTAGCATGAATGTCAGTTAGTGTCAGTCCTCCGTCTAAGGATAGATCCGTATTGCACTAATTAGCCATTCAGGCTCTCGGCAATGCTTCCAACCACCTTGACCTTAAAAGTGCTTTTTTAACGCATTAGGGTATTGGATGGATAGGGTATGGGTTCTATGAACTCAGGAACTACGGCATCTAATGAACAAAATTAGGTAAATTATAGGGAACATGAGGAGTATTAAAGATAATTCTTAAATTTGAGGTAGTAACACCTTAATTTTTTGGTGTAATTTAGGTTCCTTCAAAGTGAATCCTGTGGTGAGCAACGCGGATCGATCTTAGCTAGTTATTTATAGGCTACTATAAAATGTTAGTTCTTCTAAATTTGAGCTATTCTACTGTAACTGTAATTTCAATTCCACAATTGGTATTAAGTGTTCAAGATCAAGAATCTCATTTATTTTTATTGAAATCTTTTAAATAAATTAATGTAGATATTGCGACCACAAACAAAATAACTAGAAATGAAATGATTTATTCATTATTTAAAAAAACAACTTACTTATGATAACATATCGACCATATCAGGAACTGATTTAAAAGTAAACTAGATCGACAACAATTTGTATTATTACATTGTACGAGCGATCCTCAAAGTAACAAAATGTACTCTCAAAGTGTTCTGTGTAGTTTATGTTTGGACAATTTAAATGATTCTAAGAACGTATACTCTATAATAAAATGTGGACACATTTATCATAAAGAGTGCCTGAGAAAAATAATATACAAAAGAACGTGCTCCGTTTGCCATGTACTGTATGATAAACGTCAATGTCGTAAATTAAATGTATATTCAGAATCAAAAGTCCAAAGTGAAGATGGTTTTTATCCCTGGGAGTACAATTGGATGTATTGTGATTCTAAAACACTTTTGGAACCACAGGAATTGTCTAAAACTTGCCTTAAACTGGGAATCGATAACAAAAATGATGATATTTACGCAGCAAGATGTTTTCTTAATGGAAACATATTACCAGCTTATTATGTCGCCGCCCGGAAGTGTGCCATTACGACTTTTGGCGGACATGCGTATCAGCTACAAGAGGATATTGATCTTCTGGATATAAGCGCTGATGATATACGTTTATATGAATGGCAACAGTTCGAGAACAATCAGCTTCCAGAAAATGCATTTGATATAACACACTGCTCTTCGGATTTATTGTCGAGTGATGCTGATGGACCAGATAAATTGAACGAGAAGCTTTATATTGCTCGTGGTGTATACAAAGGTAAAATTCTTTATGGCAAATTATGCTCGACAGACAATGGTGAAAATAACCAAATTTATTTGGCTTTTGGAAACGAAGAGATTGAATTTCATGCAAATGACAAGAATATCTGCGAAGTTCTAGTAAGAAATCCATAAAAGTACTAAATGTATAGTGTAAATTCGCAGTTTCATTTTGGGTTTAATAAAATATGTATGTAATTTGTAAAAATTTAAGCGAATGTAAAATTGATTTCCTAATATTGATAAAATTATACAAAAGGGTATTTAACAGTGGCTTAGAACTATTGGATATATTCGATGCTGAGGTGTTTGCGAGTTATCTTTGTAGTTACCATTTTTAGTTCAAGAGATACATATTTTTGTTCAAAATTCATTTTCAGCTCTATTTGCTTTAATACAGGGTAATACTAAACTTTAATAGAAAAAATTTTCTTTGGTATCGTCAAAAAATTAAATATTTTTATTGTTTATATGTTCTATTCCGCCGCTCGTTTTTACGGTGTGGATCTCAGGCTCTCAGACATTGCTGTCTAAGCTGTCAAGACATCTACTTAAATGTATTAAGGATGTAGGAAGGCCATAGGTAAGACTTGGAGCATCAGTCCAGGCACTGTGAAATGGCTTTTTGACAAAATCATTATAACGTAGGAAGCATTTGACTGGTGGAGAACACTCTACCTATAGTCTAGTCTGTAATCTAGTCTACATTCTAGTCTATATTATAGACTAGACTATAGTCTAGTCTAGTCTATAGTCTAGTCTATAGTCAAGTCTATAGTCTAGTCTATAGTCTAGTCTATAGTCTAGTCTGTAGTCAAGTCTATAGTCTAGTCTATAGTCTAGTCTATAGTCTAGTCTATAGTCTAGTCTATAGTTTAGTCTATAGTCTAGTCTATTAGTCTAGTCTATAGTCTAGTCTATAGTCTAGTCTATAGTCTAGTCTATAGTCTAGTAGTCTCTATAGTCTAGTCTATAGTCTAGTCTATAGTCTAGTCTATAGTCTAGTCTATAGTCTAGTCTATAGTCTAGTCTATAGTCTAGTCTATAGTCTAGTCTATAGTCTAGTCTATAGTCTTGTCTATAGTCTAGTCTATAGTCTAGTCTATAGTCTAGTCCATAGTCTATAGTCTAGTCCATAGTCTAGTCTATAGTCTAGTCTATAGTCTAGTCTATAGTCTAGTCTAGTCTATAGTCTAGTCTAGTCTATAGTCTAGTCTAGTCTATAGTCCAGTCTATAGTCTAGTCTATAGTCTAGTCTATAGTCTAGTCTATAGTCTAGTCTATAGTCTTGTCTATAGTCTAGTCTATAGTCTAGTCTATAGTCTAGTCCATAGTCTATAGTCTAGTCCATAGTCTAGTCTATAGTCTAGTCTATAGTCTAGTCTATAGTCTAGTCTAGTCTATAGTCTAGTCTAGTCTATAGTCTAGTCTAGTCTATAGTCCAGTCTATAGTCTAGTCTATAGTCTAGTCTATAGTCTAGTCTATAGTCTAGTCTATAGTCTAGTCTATAGTCTAGTCTATAGTCTAGTCTATAGTCTAGTCTATAATCTAGTCTATAGTCTAGTCTATAGTCTAGTCTATAGTCTAGTCTATAGTCTAGTCTATAGTCTAGTCTATAATCTAGTCTATAGTCTAGTCTATAGTCTAGTCTATAGTCTAGTCTATAGTCTAGTCTATAGTCTAGTCTATAGTCTAGTCTATAGTCTAGTCTATAGTCTAGTCTATAGTCTAGTCTATAGTCTAGTCTATAGTCTAGTCTATAGTCTAGTCTATAGTCTAGTCTATAGTCTAGTCTATAGTCTAGTCTATAGTCTAGTCTATAGTCTAGTCTATAGTCTAGTCTATAGTCTAGTCTATAGTCTAGTCTATAGTCTAGTCTATAGTAGTCTATAGTCTAGTCTATAGTCTAGTCTATAGTCTAGTCTATAGTCTAGTCTATAGTCTAGTCTATAGTCTAGTCTATAGTCTAGTCTATAGTCTAGTCTATAGTCTAGTCTATAGTCTAGTCTATAGTCTAGTCTATAGTCTAGTCTATAGTCTAGTCTATAGTCTAGTCTATAGTCTAGTCTATAGTCTAGTCTATAGTCTAGTCTATAGTCTAGTCTATAGTCTAGTCTATAGTCTAGTCTATAGTCTAGTCTATAGTCTAGTCTATAGTCTAGTCATAGTCTAGTCTATAGTCTAGTCTATAGTCTAGTCTATAGTCTAGTCTATAGTCTAGTCTATAGTCTAGTCATAGTCTAGTCTATAGTCTAGTCTATAGTCTAGTCTATAGTCTAGTCTATAGTCTAGTCTATAGTCTAGTCTATAGTCTAGTCTATAGTCTAGTCTATAGTCTAGTCTATAGTCTAGTCTATAAGTCTATTCTAGTCTATAGTCTAGTCTATAGTCTAGTCTATAGTCTAGTCTATAGTCTAGTCTATAGTCTAGTCTATAGTCTAGTCTATAGTCTAGTCTATAGTCTAGTCTATAGTCTAGTCTATAGTCTAGTCTATAGTCTAGTCTATAGTCTAGTCTATAGTCTAGTCTATAGTCTAGTCTATAGTCTAGTCTATAGTCTAGTCTATAGTCTAGTCTATAGTCTAGTCTATAGTCTAGTCTATAGTCTAGTCTATAGTCTAGTCTATAGTCTAGTCTATAGTCTAGTCTATAGTCTAGTCTATAGTCTAGTCTATAGTCTAGTCTATAGTCTAGTCTATAGTCTAGTCTATAGTCTAGTCTATAGTCTAGTCTATAGTCTAGTCTATAGTCTAGTCTATAGTCTAGTCTATAGTCTAGTCTATAGTCTAGTCTATAGTCTAGTCTATAGTCTAGTCTATAGTCTAGTCTATAGTCTAGTCTATAGTCTAGTCTATAGTCTAGTCTATAGTCTAGTCTATAGTCTAGTCTATAGTCTAGTCTATAGTCTAGTCTATAGTCTAGTCTATAGTCTAGTCTATAGTCTAGTCTATAGTCTAGTCTATAGTATAGTCTATAGTCTAGTCTACTAGGTCTAGTCTATAGTCTAGTCGTATCGTCTAGTCTATAGTCTAGTCTATAGTATAGTCTATGTCTAGTCTAGTCTTATAGTATAGTCTATAGTCTAGTCTATAGTCTAGTCTCTAGTCTAGTCTATAGTCTAGTCTATAGTCTAGTCTATAGTCTAGTCTATAGTCTAGTCTATAGTTCTAGTCTATAGTCTAGTCTATAGTCTAGTCTATAGTCTAGTCTATAGTCTAGTCTATAGTCTAGTCTATAGTCTAGTCTATAGTTTAGTATATAGTCTAGTCTATAGTCTAGTCTATAGTCTAGTCTATAGTTAGTCTATAGTCTAGTCTATAGTCTAGTCTATAGTCTAGTCTATAGTCTAGTCTATAGTCTAGTCTATAGTATAGTCTATAGTCTAGTCTATAGTCTAGTCTATAGTCTAGTCTATAGTTAGTCTATAGTCTAGTCTATAGTCTAGTCTATAGTCTAGTCTATAGTCTAGTCTATAGTCTAGTCTATAGGTCTAGTCTATCAAGTCTAGTCTATAGTCTAGTCTATAGTTAGTCTATAGTCTATGTCATAGTCTAGTTATAGTCTATAGTCTAGTCTAGTCTATAGTCTAGTCTATAGTCTAGTCTATAGTCTAGTCTAGTCTATAGTCTAGTCTATAGTCTAGTCTATAGTCTAGTCTATAGTCTAGTCTATAGTCTAGTCTATAGTCTAGTCTATAGTCTAGTCTATAGTCTAGTCTATAGTCTAGTCTATAGTCTAGTCTATAGTCTAGTCTATAGTCTAGTCTATAGTCTAGTCTATAGTCTAGTCTATAGTCTAGTCTATAGTCTAGTCTATAGTCTAGTCTATAGTCTAGTCTATAGTCTAGTCTATAGTCTAGTCTATAGTCTAGTCTATAGTCTAGTCTATAGTCTAGTCTATAGTCTAGTCTATAGTCTAGTCTATAGTCTAGTCTATAGTCTAGTCTATAGTCTAGTCTATAGTCTAGTCTATAGTCTAGTCTATAGTCTAGTCTATAGTCTAGTCTATAGTCTAGTCTATAGTCTAGTCTATAGTCTAGTCTATAGTCTAGTCTATAGTCTAGTCTATAGTCTAGTCTATAGTCTAGTCTATAGTCTAGTCTATAGTCTAGTCTATAGTCTAGTCTATAGTCTAGTCTATAGTCTAGTCTATAGTCTAGTCTATAGTCTATAGTCTAGTCTATAGTCTAGTCTATAGTCTAGTCTATAGTCTAGTCTATAGTCTAGTCTATAGTCTAGTCTATAGTCTATAGTCTAGTCTATAGTCTAGTCTATAGTCTAGTCTATAGTCTAGTCTATAGTCTAGTCTATAGTCTAGTCTATAGTCTAGTCATAGTCTAGTCTATAGTCTAGTCTATAGTCTAGTCTATAGTCTAGTCTATAGTCTAGTCTATAGTCTAGTCTATAGTCTAGTCTATAGTCTAGTCTATAGTCTAGTCTATAGTCTAGTCTATAGTCTAGTCTATAGTCTAGTCTATAGTCTAGTCTATAGTCTAGTCTATAGTCTAGTCTATAGTCTAGTCTATAGTCTAGTCTATAGTCTAGTCTATAGTCTAGTCTCTAGTAGTCTATAGTCTAGTCTATAGTCCTAGTCTATAGTCTAGTCTATAGTCTAGTCTATAGTCTAGTCTATAGTCTAGTCTATAGTCTAGTCATAGTCTAGTCTATAGTCTAGTTATAGTCTAGTCTATAGTCTAGTACTATAGTCTAGTCTATAGTCTAGTCTATAGTCTAGTCTATAGTCTAGTCTATAGTCTAGTCTATAGTCTAGTCTATAGTCTAGTCTATAGTCTAGTCTATAGTCTAGTCTATAGTCTAGTCTATAGTCTAGTCTATAGTCTAGTCTATAGTCTAGTCTATAGTCGTCTATAGTCTAGTCTATAGTCTAGTCTATAGTCTAGTCTATAGTCTATAGTCTAGTCTAGTCATAGTCTATAGTCTAGTCTAGTCTATAGTCTAGTCTAGTCTATAGTCCAGTCTATAGTCTAGTCTATAGTCTAGTCTATAGTCTAGTCTATAGTCTAGTCTATAGTCTAGTCTATAGTCTAGTCTATAGTCTAGTCTATAGTCTAGTCTATAGTCTAGTCTATAGTCTAGTCTATAGTCTAGTCTATAGTCTAGTCTATAGTCTAGTCTATAGTCTAGTCTATAGTCTAGTCTATAGTCTAGTCTATAGTCTAGTCTATAGTCTAGTCTAT